GAGAACAGTGACATTCGGGGGAGCAGTGTCATTGACATGTGGGGGGGCAGTATTTAGTTACTTGGGAAGGAGGGGCAGTGGCATAGGATGGATGGACACTTGATTGTTCCCACGTGTCAGTATGACAGTGTCAGTGACAAGGGGGAGGACAGTATCTGTGACATGTGGGGGGGCGAGGGCAGTGTCAGTGACAAGGGGGCAGGACAGTATCTGTGACATGTGGGGGGGCGAGGGCAGTGTCAGTGACAAGGGGGAGGACAGTATCTGTGACATGTGGGGGGGCGAGGGCAGTGTCAGTGACATGGGGGCAGGACAGTGTCGGTGACAAGGGAGAGGACAGTGGTGTTTGTGACATGGGGGGGAGGACAGTGTCAGTGAAAAGAAGGCCGTAAATTCTATTTGGGTGCAGTGTTGCATGACCACGCAATTGTCAAAGTAACGCAGCGCTGTAATGCAAAAACTGTCCTGGTCAGGAAGGGGGGGAAATCCTCAGGAGGGCAAGTGGGTAATATTATTGATTATTATTTTTGTTATCTATTATAATCAATATGATCTACAAATAATAAGTATTAAGAATTGTCAAAGTGGAACTCGACCCAAAAGGGGAAGTTCCGCTTTAAGGACTGATTCCCCATTCCCTGTTGAGGATTGGCACCTTTTGGGAGCGGGGGGGGGACTACTACGGGGCTATTCAGAAAGCACAGTGCTACTCGCACATGTGCAGAGGGCACCCGGCTATGAAGCCGCAAGCTGTGATGTCCAGGTGCCCACACTGAAGATGCCTGTGCTGGGAACACAAGACGGCCGATAAAACTTGCTGTGGGGGGGGGGGGGGACACCACGTGGTCCAGGGACAGGCGAGTGGCTGTTTTCTAGAAGTCAGCAGCAACAGGTTTTATTTTTTTTTACACTTTGACTGGAAGTCCACTTTAGCCCGGGTTCACACTGATGCGGTGCAGAATTCGCAGCGGTTTCTGTGTGAATTCCACACCGCATCACAATCGCACCCAGGTCATGCGAATCGCTGCGGGTGTGTATGTTAACACCCCAAAATCAGTTCGCAAAACGCGGTGCGATGTGCAGAATCAGATCACAAAGGTGTGAATACCCATGCGATCCTATTCTCGTGGGGACCAAAAAAAGGGTCCTGCACCTTTTTGGTGCGGATGTGGTGCGATTTGACCCATCCAAAATGTACCGTCTCCAACCGCACCGCACACAATTGGCATGTGATTTGCACAGGAATGTGGTGCGGTTGCTGTTCCAATGACCTGCGATATACCGCCGCACCGCATATGTGTGAACCCGGATTTAATGATCAGATATTAATAGTGGATGATGATTTGTATCCCAGCCCAGGATTATTATTGGATGTGAGTGAATAGGATGGATGGACACTTGATTGTTCCCACGTGTCAGTATGACAGGCGCACTATGATTGGTTATCGTGGGGCCACAGCCATTGTACGGAATGTTTGTACGGAGGATCGCTGTGTGTGGGTTTCGTCTGGTGATGTAGATGTACTTGTCCCGTCTAGATAGAAGAGATGGAAAGCCAATGACTTGCCGTCCACTAGACCTCCTTGTAGAGGAAAGCAGTGTAGCGCCACCTTCCGAATGTCCCCCGAAGTGCAGGCCAAATGGGTGTAGGAAGGTAGAAGGGAAGAGGAAGTGTGTGTATTGGCCCCTGTTGTGTATCGGTGTCCCCCATGGGGCCTGGTGTTGTATTGGGGTGATGAGGCTTGCAGTGGTGTGGAGATGCCATGCGCTCCCCTTGTAGATGAGACGTAGTACAGGGCACACAGCGCGCCTTCCCCTTTCAGAGCGGGGTGACTCGTGTGCTTTCCCCTGATGGGATGACCTGTCCCTTCCCTCCCTCCCACGGATGGATCCGGATCTCCTCCCCTCATGTACTCACTATGCTGAGAGAAGATGGCCCCGAGCGGAGCTGTGTGTAATCTATTAGTGGAATCCAGGCGCTAGTCGGAAGCAAGCCAGCGCACTATTGGTGTATTGTACATGTCATGTGACACGAAGGACAGGAATCAGCCATGACACCGTGATGGCGCGGGCCCGGCTCGTAACTCCGGCTGATTCCTCTTCTCAGCTCCACCGGCAGAGAACTGACTGCCCGCTGTGTGCGCGCTCCTATTTATACCCTCCGATGCGTCTCTGAGGTAACGGTCAAATCTCGCGCCGCAAGCTGTATCTGCGCATGGCCAAGAGCGAGGAGGCGTGCCTCTCCAAGGACTCCGCCTTTCTTCAGCAATGATTCTGGGCGGGGCTTTTTCCTGTTCGCTGGTTGGGCGGATAGGGAGGTACGATGTGATGACGTCAAGCCGGTTCTCGTCGCTGTGGGGGATCTCCTTTCGTTTCACATCTACACCGTGAAGAACAGAACCGCGGCCGAGGAGGAGCGTGTGAGTGACGCATGAGAGAGAGCCTCAGATGGGAGGAGGAGCTATCGTACTGAGAGAGGACACAGGGCCGATGTTAGTATGCGAGCTGAAGCCGGATGTGGGGAGCGCAGCCACTGTGCATCCTCCTTCCAGTGCCTTTGTGGCCGGTGAGAAGTGTGAGAATATACCGCCGGGGAATGAGAGGAAGATCCGAAAGAAGTGAGAGCGAGCCTCGGGGGGGAAGGAGGAGGGGTGACAGGCTGAGAGAGGAGACAGGGCTGTGTCAGTCTGCTGGTTGGAGTAGGATGTGGGGAGCGCAGCCACCTCGCATCCTCCTTCCAGCGGGACTAGACCCCGACTGACTGCTGCTTCCAGACGCCTGGTTACCATGGCAGTGTCGGTGGGCGTGGCTTCTTCCCCAACAGCGCGCATGCGCTCAGCACATTTGAGAGAGTTTTGCTATTTCTGCTATATAGTTTTTGCTATGGATAGCAGCTGAAGCACTCGAGGTAACCACAGTAACCTTTAAAATAGCAGTAAACATAATAAAGTGCAGCGCTCAATAAATAAGTAGCTGGATGTGAGTTCATGCGAAACAATGAGTAAAGTTCAACAAATGGCACATGTGATGGTTTCCTAGGAGGCAGATATCTCAATGAACTTGTGACTGGAATCAAATGGAAAAAATGCACACTCACCGGAAGCGTGTGGAAAATGCACATATAAGTATAAAACCACTATGTAATGATCTGTGATGGACAGGATGGTGGGCTTCCTTCTAGGTACTGGTCATCAAGCTTGGGTTAATATGAGAATCTGCTGGGTCCAGAGGTCCCCTTAAGGATAGACAGGCGCTCAGCCTGGATACAGGGCTCCCTCCTCTGGATGCTGGATATCATAGGAACTCTCTGGGTTTAATAGCTCCACATAGGAGCCAAAAAACAAGTGCCAATAGTGTAGTATTTTCTCAACAAAAATGATTTATGAAGTGTGATACAATTAAGGGTAGTATGCAGAGTGGAGCACAATAAAACTGCACATAAAAATGAATGCAACACTGACACTTTAAAAGATGTCCGCCAGGCTTCCTCGTGGAGTTCCTATGATATCCAGAGGATATCTCTGACATCCCCAGTGACACTGATACAGTGGTCAGTGCTAATAAAAAGCACCAACACTGTACTAATGACACTGGGCTGGAAGGGGTTAACATCTAAAGCGATCAAAGGGTTAACTCTGCTGTGTGTGAGTGTGTTTTACAGTGTGCTGGAGCTGACCAGGGAGAGATCTGTATTGTTTACATACAGACCTCCCCGTCAGTGTTCCTCGTTGATCACTGGCCAGGACCCAGTGATCCACAGCTGAAGCTGCCAATGGTGGTGCGGGTAGAGCATGCGCACCTCCTACCCAGAAATACAAAAGCACGTGAGTATATACGTGATTTTGTGCAGCCCTGCTGGCCTGTAGCAGTATTTCTACTATAGGGCGGCGGGCAGGTGGTTAAAGTGGTTGTAAAGGGTGGAGGTTTTTTACCTTTATGTATCCTATCCAGTACGGTAAAAAACCTTCAGTGTGCAGCTCCCTCACAGCCAACCCAATACTTACCTGAGCCCAATCTTCATCATGCATGGGAGCCTCGGCTCTCCTGAGCCTCTCTCTCCTCATTGACTTAAACACAGCAGTGGGAGCCATTAGCTGTCAATCACAGTGAGGCCGGGACGGGATTGAGCCACGTTCTGTGTGTTCCATAGACACCCAAAGCTGGCTCGGGAGCAAGCATGCATGAGTGCCCCCAGTGCAAGCAACCTGCGCTTGGGGCACTCGACAAGGGGGAGGGCCTGAGAAGAGGAGGATCGGGGCTGCTCTGTGCAAAAGCATTAGTCTAGGTCCAAACCTACACGTTTTCCGTTGTTCCGTAAAACGCACAGCAGTCCATTTTAACTTGATTTCCTATATGACAGGTTCACAATTCTGCATTTTCACCTGGTGCCTTTTTGATTCTATAGACTTCAATGGAGATGCCGCAGAAAAGCATGTAGTCCTTTTTTTGATGCGTTTTGTGTTTTAATCTGCCCAGCAACAAGTTGAAGAAAAAAAAATGCAAAACGCATAAAACGTGCAAAAATGCACCGCAAAATGCACTGCAGAACCTGATCAAATGCAAACTGTATAGGTGTGGACTTAGCCTTACACAGAGCAGGGGCAAGTATAACATGTTTATTTTAACCACTTGCCTACCGGGCACTTCTACCCCCTTCCTGCCCAGGCCAATTGTCCGCTTTCAGCGCTGTTGCACTTTGAATGACATTTGTGCAGTCATGCAACATTGTACCCATATGAAATTGTTAGCATTTTTTTGAGACAGAGCTTTCTTTTGGCAGTATTTAATCACCTCTGGGTTTTTTATTTTTTGCTAAACAAACCAAAAACAACTGAAAATTTTGAAAAAAAAAAATTTTTTCTTATTTTCCGTTATAAAATTTTGTAAATAAGTGATTTTTGTCCTTCACTGATTTGCGCTAATAAGGCTGTACTGATGGGCACTGATAGGTGGCACTGCTGAGCAGGCATTGGTAGGTGGCACTGATGGGCATTGACAGGCATCACTGATGGGCACTGAAAGGCAGCACTAATAGGGGGCACTGGCAGGCAGCACTGATAGGCGGCACTGACTGGCATTGATAGGTGGCACTGAAAGGCAGCTCAGATGGGCACTGATATGTTGCATTGATGTGCACTGATAGGTACTGATATGTGGCACTGATGGGCATTGGTGGGTGACATTGATGGGCACTGACAGGTGGCACGGCTGGGGCTACACTGATCATCAGGGCACGCTTATCAGTGCCCTGATGATCAGTGTACATGTCCCCTCTGAGTAATGCAATTACCGGGTCTCTTCTCTTCTGTCAGCGTGACAGCTCATGAGGAGAGAAATGCCGATAACCGGCATTTCCTTATTTACCACCGATCGCAGCACTGCATGCCCCCGGGGTTGCGCACGCGCAGTTTACAGTGGGAGGATGTCATATGACTTCCTCCCAGAATGAGAAAAGCGCGTTGCGCTGTCATTTCCTTACATGGCGGGAGGCAGTTAAATAATAGAAAATAACCTTTAGAACCACTTGAACCTATTTAGCAGAAGGCCTAGTGACAGCGGTCTGGATGTTACATTGTAGCGGTCACCTTGATTGTGCGTCTGTCAGTTCTCCCCAGTGTGCTATCTGGACATTGACATCCAATGCTGAGCAGCACTGAAGAGTACACTGAAACTTGGGGGGGGTTTGTTCAGGGAGGCCCCATTGAATTACATTATTCACAGTTGGCAACTGAACTGCCCACCAAATCAACGTGCTGTTTAAAGTGGTTTTGAGGCACAAACTTTTTTTTGGTAAAAAAAAATGGTAATTTATAATGTTTTCCTATCTATGAGCCTGTAAAGCATTGCACCTTCGATCAGTAGATCACGGGCGCAGTTCAGGGCTCCTGCAGTCTGTGTAGCTGTCTGCTCATACCTTGTAAGGACCGGCAGTTACACGATAGAATCAATGGAGACTAACTGGAGGGAGAACTACAAGCCATCAGCCTTTGCAGCCTTTGTAGTTTTCCCATTCATAGAACTCTGTGAATCAATGATGCTGATGAGTGGGCAGAGCCCCCGACCCCCCTTCCCCCATGTGGTTTTTGGTTTGTTTTTGTTTTTTTAATGGGGAAAATGCCCCAGGCATGCAGTCACAATCTGGATCAGTGGGGTGGGGCACTCCTTTAGTAATATGTTACATTTCACACCCTAAATGTGCGTGTAACATGTTCCTGAAGGTGAACTTATCCTTTAATAGGCACAGGAGACGGGTTTTCAGTCATTGGGGACAGATAACTGGAGTCTGGCAGCCAAACAAGTTTGGGGACTTTATGCACCTGTGAGGGCTGAAAGCAAGAAACGATCGGAGACTAGCTGGGGGAGACCTGGGACTGTGTGTGTCTGTGGGCACTGACTGCAAGAAGATTGGGGACTGTGCATGTAAATGACCACTTCATACGCAAAGAGGTCACATATTGTGTGTGTCTTTGGGGACTGTGCGCTGTGGCCACATACAGCCTGAACTCTGTGTGAGGGAACTGAAGGCCAGAAGAAATCAGGGACTGATAGCCAGAAGAGGCCAAAGACTGTGTGTGTGTGGGGGGGGGACTGATGGCCAGAAGACATCAGGTACTTTATCTGTCTGTGGGGACTGATGGCCAGTAGATGTCTGGGACTGTATGTGTGTCTGTGGGAACTGACGGCCAGAAGACATCAGGGACTGCGTGTGTGTCTGCGGGGACTGATTCTCCCTTTCCAGGACAAGTTGTATTGTGGAAGAGGATGTGTCGGGCAGTCCCTGGTTCCTGTAAGGTCCTTGTGGCTTATCAGTGCTGAGCTGTGAGTGTATTGTGGGAATGTTCTCTCTGATCGCTGGAAGATCCATCCCTTCAGTGAGTGTGTGATGTGTGATCAGTGGTGTCCCGAGGTAGGTGTGGGGAGTGTGGGGTATACAACCTATACAGGGTGACAGCGGACCCTAGAAGAAAAGGTAAGTTGTAAAGAAAGCCGATGATCCCCGCAGGATGGATCGGATCTGCGGATTGGGGAGCATAATGGATCAGAGTCTGATCCATTATGCTCAATCCGCAGTTCTGATCCATCCTGCGGGGATCGTCAGAGGGGGTGTCACCAAATGTTACCATACCGGGTGACACCAACCTTAGGGACTCCTCTGTGTGTGGTCGCAGCGTTTGTTGCATTGTTTGTCATATTTCATAAAATAACAGCCCCTCCCCCGCACAGCAGCGAGGAACATTGTGCCATCCGTGTCTCTCCTGGAGTTGATCTGCTGCCGTCACGTTTTGGTTGGTTGGGTCTCTGTGTGTGTTTACGTTCTTTATCTTCCTTATTGCACAACCCTCATCTGTATCCTCATGCGGCATCTGAATTCCTCCGTTAGAATTGTGTATACTCAGTGACGTCATCCCCATGATCTGTCTGATTATAGACTTCTGCTTTGTTTTCAGCTCCATTCACATCAGTGCACTTCACCTGCCATTTCTATGTGTACAGACTGCCAGTAATATAGATGTGATCAGTGGGAGATTACCAGTCCATTCTATGTATCTGCCAGTGCAATAATGTAATAATGAGAAGTGAAGTTTGAGTTCAGTCAAAACCTAACTAAGCTTTAAGTGATTCTAAAGGTTCATTTTTTTTCTATTTTGTAAAATAACAAAAATGTTATACTTACCGGCTGTGGGCAGTGATTTTGTACAGAGCAGCCTGGATCCTCCTCTTCTCGGGTCCCCTGCAGGCTCACCTGGCTCCTCCTGTCTTTCGGGTGCCCACCGATCACTGATCTGATCCAGTACTTGCTGGAAAGGGAATATTTTCTGAAAAGAAAAGTCTGATCAAACATCCAAGGACAGAGTCACTTTAACCACATGCCGCCCAGCCACTGTATAAATACGGTGGCAGGGCGGCACGGCTGGGCAAAAGCACGTTTTAAAACATGTGTTTTGTAAACAGGTAGGAGGCGTGCCGCCGCCCTACCTGTCCCGCCGATCACAGCCACGGATGTCAGTTGCCGGGTCACAGCCAGTCGTTACCGGCTATGTCCCGGCGATCGGCGGCAATCGCTGACAGAGAGCACAGCTGCAGTAGCTGTGCTTTCTGTCAGTTCCCTGACAGCTCCAGGACATGCTGATCGGGACAGAAGAGTTTCTCTCTCCCGATCAGCAGTGTTCCCTGCAGTACACACCCCCGCCCCCTAGTAAAACACTCCCCTCACACAGTTAACCCTTTCCCTGAATAATAAACTTAACCCCTTCCGCCCCAGTGCCATTAGTACAGTGTCAGTGTTTTTTTTTTGTTTTTTTTTTTGCACTGATCACTGTATTGGTGTCACTGGGGATGTCAGTGACCCCAAGTCAGTACCCCCCAATGTCAGAATGTCCGCCGCAGTCCCGCCATAAGTCACCTATCGCCGCCATTATTAGTATAAAAAAACCCTAAAAATCCCAGTATCTTTCCCGCCATTTGTAAACGCTATAACTTTCACGTAAACCAATTAATTTACACGTATTGGGTTTTTTTTTTATAGCAAAGACGTCGCAGAATGCATTTTGGCAGAAATTTATGACTAAATTTGATTTTTAATTTTTTTTTACTGGACATGTTTTATAGCAAAAAGTCCAAAATATAGTTTTTTTTCCTCAAAATTGTCAGCCTTTTTTTTTTATAGCGCAAAAAATAAAAGCCGCACAGGCGATCAAATACCACCGAACGAAAGCTCATGATTGATGTTCGAGTCAAATGTAAGTCCGAATCAAACAACGGCTATTCGTGTATTTGGTGAACACGTGAATGGGAAGGGTGTTTCGGCGGGCTGTTTGCCCAAGCCCCACAATGCACTGTGCTCTGACAGTGCTTGGTGATTGGCCAAAGCAATGCATTTGACCAGGACCCGACCTGACCCTCCTCCTATCTCTCTGGCAGTTCAGGGAATTCAGGATCAAATATCTCACCAGCAACACCATCATCTATTCCAAGTTGCAGCTATATATCTGCACAGCCTAGGAAAACCTGGCATGATAATATGCTGATTGTAGGAAAATACATGTGAAAAACAGAAACACAAATGTTAGAACATGAAATATATATTTGTAATTGTGATGTATTCCATAAATTGGAAATTTACATTACACTTCCTTTCCAGTAAACAAAGGCTTGACCAAGTCCAAAAGTCAATCATGGCTTCATGTGTCCATATGTAATATTCATTATAGATTTCATATCAAACACGGTTTCCATAAAATGGAAAAAAGATAAAAGCTGTCCTCATAAAAGGACAGGTAGTAGGTAATGTTTTCTGCAGATCCCTCCATGTTATAGGCACAGTAAGTCCATGTTACTTCCCCTTCATCTTTCTTCTTTTCAAGGCTTTCCATTCTCCCTCCTGTGTTGACAGACTGTTGAAGAGTTCCTTTACCTTCCTCTTCCTCTCCGCATCCCTGGCAATTGAAATGTAGATGTTAAGCAATGGTAACAACTAAAAATCAATAAACAGTCAGTTATCCAAGCAGTGATAGAGCAGTGACAGGGTGGTCATAAACAAAACATAAGCAACAACCAAGCAACAGAACAATCAGTAGATCCAGAGACATAGGACCCCCCCCCCCCCCCTTATAGCCCCTGAGGCTTTTACCTGACCAATATATCCATCTACTGAAGGACCAATACGGTGTGGGAGGGGGGAAGATAGAGCCGGCATCTTTGGATCTTCTGATTGTTTTGATGTGATTTGCACAGAAGGTAGCTTCTGTTTATGTAATTCTTTCATCATATATAATATTCTCATGATTCCTTGCAGCCAGTTGAAGAAAGACTTTGACAATGCATCTAGACCAGTGTTTTTTTCTATGGGTCCCAAACAGTGTTGTGGATTTGTCTGAGATGGCTCACCACTTAACTGTGTCTAAGCACAAAATATGTCCCAAAGTGCAATGTGATTTTTGAATGGAGGAAGAGCAGATAAATGACAGGTTCTCACCGTCTATTCACAGAATGTGTTGCATTGTGGGACAATATTAGTAGGAGTTATGTTATTACTGGTGGAGGGAGCAGAAGGGGGAAGGTGGGCAGCACGAGTTTCACACATTCGCAGCCACTGCTGTTAACCCCTGCAGCACAGGAAGACCACTCTGGTCAGTATCTGGTAGCAGGAAGGAAGGATTTTAAATGAAGCAGCAACCTGTGGAACATAGGATACACACCATTACAAGGGTGCTTATCCCCCCAAAATTGCTAAACTTCAGCTTTAAAGCTGAACGTTAATTACAAAAAAAAAAAAAAAAATCCCTACAGCTTTAGTCACATCACTTACCTTTATTGAACAATGTCTCAAGTTGTTTGCTGAGCTGAATCCTGGAGAAATCTTCACTGCAGGTATGCCTGTCTTCTTCCTGGCTCTAAATCCCCATCCCCATTCCTCCTCCATTGAGAAAAGTCATTTCATTGATTACACTGCTTGTAGCATGCATGATTTGTAAATGGGGGGTAATTGTAGCCCTATTAGTGCACTTGCAACAAAAACAATTGAATAGGGGCAGTTTGATCAGTCAGGGGATTCTTTTCCCATTCCCAGATTGTGTTAGAAGCAGTGTAGTCAATGAAAGAACTTTTCTAAATGGAGGATAATGGAGAAAAAGGTGTGTTCCCATCGTACCATCTGTACTACCGTTCTGCCTGAAGCCGGAAAGCTGTTGACCAATGCAGCACCAGAAGCTCAGAAAGAGGACGAGGACAGGCATCCCTGCAGTGAAGATCTCTCCAGGGTACAGCTACCTGCACAACATGAGACATCCTTCATTACAGTAAAGTGTTGTGGCTAAAGCTACTTTTTAAAAGTAAACTTCAGATTTAAGAACCCCTGATCTAGACAAGGCTTTATTTTCTTTTCATGTTACTCTGCATAGCATGCATCCCTACAAGCAATGCTTCATGTAGACTGCAGCAGTGGTTAGCTGGGCCATAAGTGTATTTCTGAATAATCTGTATATAAATGGATAATAAAGAAGACATTAGTTTTGGTTCACTCACCTCTCCATGGTCTCTGAAAGCTTTACTCTTGCCAAAAACTGATTGTCCCTTCGGATTTCTCGCACAGCTCCTTTAAGTTCCCGCTTGTGTTTGTGAATAAGTTTCTTTCGTTCTCGTTCCACCTTATTACAGCCCTGCTTTCTGCCAAATTCCAGCCTGACCCAAAGAGAGAAACATGTAAGATGCCAGCACAGAGATTGACTGTCTAGATATGTCACATATGACTTACATACGGTAGTTAGTTTGGCTGAAAAAAGACAAAATTCCATCCAGTTCAACAATTAAAAAAAAAAAAATTATAATCCTACACCCACAGTTGATCCAGAGGAAGGCAAAAAAACCCCAGCAAAGCATGATCCAATTTGCTCCTGCAGGGGAAAAAATTCCTTCCTGATCCCCCAAGAGGCAATTGGATATTCCCTGGATCCTATAAATGTTAGTATCCAGTTATATTCTGTGTATCCAATATTTTCACAGCTCTCACTGTGAAGAAACCTTGGAGATTAAATATCCTTTCCTCCAGACGTAAAGAGTGCCCCCTTGTCCTCTGTGATGACCTCAGGGTGAATAACTCTACACCGAGTTCACTATATGAACCACTGATGTATTTATAGTGTTATGGTCTGATGAAACCAAGGTTGAACTTTTTGGCCATAATTCCAAAAGATATGTTTGGCGCAAAAACAACACTGCACATCACCAAAAGAACACCATACCCACAGTGAAGAATGGTGGTGGCAGCATCATGCTTTGGGGCTGTTTCTTCAACTTAGTCAAGGTAGAGGGAATTATGAACAGCTCCAAATACCAATCAATATTGGCACAAAACCTTCTGGCTTCTGCTAGAAAGCTGAACATGAAGAGGACCTTCATCTTTCAGCATGACAACGACCCAAAGCATACATCCAAATCAACAAAGGAATGGCTTCACCAGAAGAAGATGCAAGTTTTGGAATGGCCCAGCCAGAGCCCAGACCAGAATCTGATCGAAAATCTGTGGGGTGATCTGAAGAGGGCTGTGCACAGGAGATGCCCTCACAATCTGACAGATTTGGAGTGTTTTTGCAAGGAAAAGCGGGCAAATATTGCCAAGTCAAGATGTGCCATGCTGATAGACTCATACCCAAAAAGACTGAGTGCTGGAATCAAATCAAAAGGTGCTTCAACAAAATATTAGTTTAAGGGTGTGTACACTTATGCAACCATATTGTTTTAGTTGTACTGTTTATAGGTTACAATAAAGGTGGAAAAAGTACTGAAATGATTTCTTTGTCTCATTTTTTTACATCACAGAAACCTGACATTTTAACATGTAGTAGACGTTTTATATCCACTGTACCTCCTGCGGAGCCAATTATTTTAAAAAGTGGAGTTTCATACCGCTTTAATAGCAGACTTGACCTGCTGCTCTCCCTCTGCACAATCTTTTTGATCAATGTTCATTATCCTCCCCCTCCCCATTTGTGACTTCATTTCTATACTCACACAGGCATAACTTTTGGTGTGAACATTTTCATTGCCACAGGTGCCTGTTTCTCAAACATGAGCTGTTTGTAGGTTTTCTTTCCAAGTCTTTCAATATCATCTAAAATTTTTTGGCACATATCCTGAAAGAACAAAAAAAAAGGTCACTTTATAAAAGTTACAACCACCTTAGCAAGAAATTACAAAACAAGTAATCAATCTTTGTTTGCACAACTGCTGAGCATACCTCTGCTGTGACTGCTATGACCAGATTAGCCTTTCCTTCGGGTGGTGCCCCACTGGGAACCTTGCATTAACCCCTTCAGAGCTGGAGATGTGAATTTAAAGATCTTACGCTGATTTTGGCTAGACTGCCTCTGCTTTGAGGATGCCGATTTTCGAATCAATCTACACAGATACACCTACCAATTCATCATTATACCAGTAATTTTCCCTGAAGAAGGAACTCCGTTCTGAAACATGTTGGGAATTATGGGAAGATTTTATTATCGCTAAGCAAAACATGTATCTATATTGTTGTATTTCTAAATATACTTGGGTATATGCTGGCTTAATGATTTGGTGTATCATATTGTATTTTACCTTTGTCCCATTGGCCATTTTTTTGGAATTAATAATAAAGATTGATTACTGTTTTTTAATATATTTCATGTTTCAGATCTTCTGCCTCTAAAGTCCCCTGGGGAATCCTTTGACCTTTTGGTTGCTTTTCTTAAGCTCTTTATTAGGGGTGTACGATGATTATTTGTGAGCAGATCACTAAACTCTATATGAAATAGTTTGCTACTACCTGTGTGGACAACTGCCTGTATATACAAGGAGAGTCAACAGGAACGCATTAGCTTGAAGCAGGATGATGCAACTCAGAAGCAAGTCAAATACACCATCAATGAACGGCAAATGATCTCAAAAGCACCTCTAAGGGCTCATGTACACTGCAGCTGATAAACTCACATTCAGGAGCTGTTCAGCATTTTTTTCAGCAGCCCCTGAACTCTCCCTAATGTTTTCCTATATGTCCATGTACACATCTTCGTTTACAGGCATCTTCGTTTACAGGCATTTGAGTTTACAGTTGTTTTTTTTTGAACGCAGAAAACATGCGTTCAGCAGTCGATTTTATCAGCGTTTCAAACGCAAAACACTTGTAAACACGGCTAAACGTGGCAAATCGTGTTTATAAGCATTTGCGTCTCAAATTTTTTTTTAACTCTTCCAGTTCCCGATGGTGTCCAGAGCTTTTTCATCATGAAAAATGCATGCAAAGCGTTTTCAAGGTAATCAGATGGACAAAACACTGAACACAGGATATTCCTACCAAGCTTGTCACATATTGTAATGACCAATTCACACCTCAGACCTCTCGCACCCTTGGAAACAAAATATATGTTAATGCACATTCACACCTCAAATTCCTCATGGAGACCCCCTGCCAGGTGACCTTAATGACTCACTCCACCAGACACCTTTCCCACCCTTGGAAACAAAAGAAATGTTAATGAGCGACTCACACCTAATTATCTAAACACATACTGCTATCTCTGCTTCTACTCTGTAACAGTCTGAAATAGTTAATAATTGACCACTTTTCAGTGCATTCTGGGCATTTGGGAGGTTCTCCTGTGCTTATCTTTAAAAAACGCTTCTAAACGCAAACGCGGCTAAACAGACGTTTTTTAACCTACATTTTCCAGCAGTTTCCATCGTTCAGAAGTGCCCCATGTACATGGGGCCTAACTGATCACAACTGCAAGGTCTCATTGCACCTAAAACCATGCTGCATTTGCCCATTGACATAGCCCCTGACATATATTTCTGGACATCTTACCTGGATCTCCTTTGGATATGTGCTTCGTGGAAGGTGTTCATGGATAAGCAGGAAAATTGGTTTGAAAATCTCACAGAAAGCTGGTAAAGATCCATACATGTTCACACATCTTTTTACCAAGTCTAAGCTCACTGCAACACACGTCAGCCTGTAGGATTGTGATATAGCTGTATTAGCGACAACACTGTATATGAAATACTTTTGTTTCTACAATGCATAAACTGTAAAATTCTTGTATACTGGAGGTCACAACTATCACATTTAAAAGATATAATATTTCAGAACTGCAGTGGGACCTTAAATATCTTAGTGATGACCATGGGAAATGTCTTTTAAATCAGTGACACGCTGTATCTGTAGGGTTTAATCATATTGCTTTGAATTGCTTACAGTAATAAAAGTATTATCATAAAATGATGACACTTTACTTGGTACGTCATCATTTTATAATACTTTTATTACTGTAAGCACTGTGCTCGCAAGCACTGCCATAGGAAAAAGAGCAGATAGTTCATCGTCTCACACAGCATTGGTTCATTCTCCCTCTAAACAACATTCATGAGGCTCTCCTTTTTTATTAGAGGGGTATTGCCTGAGGCTTATCCACATCCCTGTGGCCTCGATGTGATCTCAGCCCCTGAGGTTACTCTTAAAAAAAAGAGGCAAAATCGTGTCATTTTTTATTATGGATTTGAGGAAGTATTACGAAACCATGCTTGCACCACTTGTTAATTCTCCCCACAATTTTTAAAATAATCATGTTGATACAATTATTGGCAACAAGCTAAACAAATTCACTTGGCATATTTAATCCAGGTATTTCCTTTAGCCTCCATGCACACTAGCATTTTTTTAAGCTCATAGAAGCTTTGAGCATTTTTATTTTCTGCTCCTAGAAGCGAACCGTGTTATCCTATTTGTCCATGCACACTATTTCATGCTGGGAGCGTTGTTCAAGCTTCAGTGTTTAGGAAAAAAATGGTTTTGTAAAGCTTTTGGGAGTGTTGTCCAGGCAAAAAAACCCCAAAAAACACAGAACGCTCCGAACATCTTTTGTTAAGCTCCTTTTTAATTAATGTACTTTAAAAAACGCTAATAAAATGCTACTACAAGCCAGCAAAAAAACGCTATTATCAGTGTTTTTTCATCCAGCGTTTTTTTGCGAGCCTTACACTGCAATCTGGTACTGGACACCAGAGTGTCAATATATGACATACTCACCTAAAATGATTGATCTCAGTTTTGTCCTCTGTGTTCAGTCCATTGATTGCTGTCAGCGGCATGTGTGTCTTCTTCCAAGAATTAATGTCATCATCACTATCTGTCAGGAGAAGTCCAGATGACTTTCCGTGGTGTTTAAATGGAGGAACAACGGAGTAACCTGTCATAATACAGCCAAGTGTGAGACAAGACATCAGTATGAGGAAAAACTGCTACCTCCCTGCTATGTAATACAAACATTTATTGAAATCAGAATTCCTAAAGGAAAAAAAAGAAAAGAATTAACTCCCAGCATGTTACACTCAGTCTATCTTTTCCAGGACACCCTTGGCATGTGACTGCTTTTCTTCTCTCTCACATTCCTATAATGTGTGCCAGTTGTTTTTCCCTTTTTAAACTTCTCGATTTAAATCGAAAAGGGGGGGGGGGGGGGGGGGTGTGTTGGGAGTACAATAAATCAATTCCAGGTGCACCAAAACAAAAAGGTGTTCAATTTTTTACAATTTGTTTTCTTTCTAAAGCAGTCACAGCCTGAGCAGAAAAACATGTCCTCAGCTAGCAGTTGCAAAATAAGACCCTTGCTTTCTGTATGAAAGCAGTGGTCTTCCTGCAGAGGCCTGATACATCACAACTATAGCTCTGTAAGTTACACCGGCTGCATTTACACCGGGATCGCAAAAGAACGCGTCACACTTTCCTGCGCATTCCCATGTGGTGCAATTTTGCAGTCTATTAATGTGAATGGGCTGAAATTGCACCAGAACGTGGAAAACATAGTCCATGCACTACTTCTAAAAACGAGCCACAACAAATCGTACTGCAGTACCATGCAAACACACTGCTTTGTGGTCTGCATTTGGGGTGCTGTTAACATTATATTGGCACCCGCAGCAGATTGCAAAGGCAATGCGTTTTCAGCGTGGTGCAGGAAACGCTCACTGAACATGCCTCTGCCGTACAGCGTTCTGATGTGAAACAGCCCTTATGGCAAAGTCAACAGGTACAGTTGCAAGAAAAAGTATGTGAACCCATTGGGATTACGTGGAGTTTTGCATCAATTGGGCATAAAATGTGGTCTGAACGTCATCTAAGTCACAAAAATAGAAGAACACAGTCTGCTGAACATAATACTACACAAACACATTAGATGTTTCCATGGTTTAATTGCACATAACATGTAAACATTCACAGTGCAGGGAGGAAAAAGTATGTGAGGCCCTAGCTTAATGACTTCTCCCAGAGCTAATTGGAGCCAGGAGTGAGCCAACCTTGACTCCAATCAGTGTGATGATATTGCATGTGTTGCTGACAGCTGTCCTGCCCTTAAAAAACACACACCTGTTTTGGGTTTACTGGTTTCAAGAAGCACTGTCTGATGTGAACTATGCCTCGCAGAAAAGAGCTCTCAGAAGACCTACGATCAAGAATTGTTGACTTGCATGAAGCTGGAAAGGGTTACAAAAGTATCTCCAAAAGCCTTGATGTTCATGTGTCCACGGTAAGACAGACTCTCTACAAATGGAGAAAGTTTAGCACTGTTGCTACTCTCCCTAGGTGTGGTCGTCCTGTAAAAATGACTGCAAGAGCACAGCGCAGAATGCTGCATGAGGTAAAGAAGAATCCCAGAGTGTCAGCTAAAGACCTACAGAAATCTCTGGCACATGCTAACATTTTTGTTGACACATCTACAATAAGGAAAACATTAAACAAGAATGGAGTACACGGGAGGACACCACGGAGGAAGCCATTGCTGTCCAAAAAGAATATTGCAGCACGTTTGAAGTGTGCAAAAGAGCACCTGGATGTTCCACAGCACTACTGGCAAAATATACTGTGGACAGATGAAACCAAGATTGAGTTGTTTGGGAAAAACACACAACACTATGTGTGGAGAAAAAAAGGCACAGCACACCAACATCAAAACCTCATCCCCACTGTAAAACATGGCGGAGGGAGCATCATGGTTTGGGGCTGCTTTGCTGCCTCAGGGCTTGGACGGATTGTTGTCATTGATGGGAAAATTAATTGCAGAGTTTATCAAGACATTTTGGAGGAAAACGTACGACCATTTGTCTGCCAACTGAAGCTCCGCAGAGGATGGGTGATGCAACAGGACAATGACCCAAAGCATACAAGTAATTCAACAAAACAATGGATGCAACAGCACAGAATATGCCTTCGGGAGTGGCCCAGTCAGAATCCTGACCTCAATCCGATTGAAATGCTGTGGCATGACCTTAAGAGAGCGATTCACACCAGACATCCCAAGAATATTGCTACACTGAAACAGTTTTGTGAAGAGGAGTGCTCCAAAATTCCTGCAGATCGTTGTGCAGGTCTGATCTGCAACTACAGGAAACGTTTGGTTGAGGTTATTGCTGCCAAAGGAGGGTCAACCAGTTATTAAGTTTCACATACTTTTTCCTCCCTGAACTGTGAATGTTATGTGCAATTAAACCATGGCAACATCTAATGTTTGTGTAGTATTATGTTCAGCAGACTGTGTTCTTCTATTGTTGTTACTTAGATGACGTTCAGAGCACATTTTATGCCCAATTCATGCAAAACTCCACGTAATCCCAAGGGGTTCACATACTTTTTCTTGCAACTGTATCTTTCTTATGTGCAGAAAATGTCCTTGGACTGAGAAAAGAAAAAAATAATTGCAGCCACCACATCTAAGGACTAGTAAGATCTCGGGTTTAGATATTCCTTCAGATTGACTTTTTTTTTTAGCGAAGTGAAAGTTCAATTTGCTGAGTGAACAGTCTCTATTTATTTAGTATCCTAACCCTGCTCACATGTGTGGCTTGTTCAGATATAGAACCACAGAGCAGTGTTGTGGGCAAGTTGAATACCTGATTTTAGATTGTCCTACAATTAAGATAATAAATTATCAGATGTAAAGTAAATAGAATTACAAATATTTTGCCAGCCAGGAAAGTTTATACCATATGAATGTCTACTGTGAATTTAGCTGTTTGCCTACACTTAGAAGAAATCCAGGAAAAAAAAAATGTATTACGTTACATGTCTTTACTAAAAAAAAAAAAAAAACCCAATACATGTTAATTAATTGGTTTACGTGAAAGTTATAGAGTCTACAAATGGTGGTGTATATATACTGGAATTTTTTTTCTTTTATGCTAGTAATGGCGGTGATCATCGACTTATTGCGGGACTGCGGCGGGCATTCTGACACTGGGGGGAAACTGACAAACTGCCACCGACATCCCCAGTGACACTAAGACAGTGATCAGTGCTAATAAAAAAGCACTGACACTGTACTAATGATACTGAGCAGGAAGGGGTTAACATCTGGAGTGATCAAAGGGTTAACTGTGTGCTGTATTACTGTATGTGCCGTGTGTGTTTTTACTAGATACACATGCTGCTGTGTGTGCTGGCAGGAGAGAGACCTGTGTTGTTTACATACAGGTCTCTTCCCTGTCAGTGTTCCTTGGTGATCGCCGGGTGCCAGCGGGGAATCTTCGGCCGGGACCCGGTGATCGACATCTGTAGCCGCCAATGGTGGCGTGGGTAGGGCGAAGCGCACACCCCCTACCCAGAAATGCTAAATCACAGATATATACACGATTATGTGCAGTCCTGTACGAGTACTTCTGCTATAGAGTGGTGGGGAAGCGGTTAATTACTGTGTCACAAGAGTGAGTCTAACAAAAAGACATATACAACACTCAGCACAAGCAGTTAAAAAAAATCTGATTACATACACCTTTTAGCACAAAAAAAAACCCTTAACTTCCCTGTACCGGTTTTAATGCTACAGGGCGGCATTGCTGTGCAAAATCACGACTATATACGTGATTTTGCACTTCTGCCACACGGGGGCGCATGCACCGCTAGAGGATCGCTTCTGCTGTGAAATTGTTAAGTCTTTTTTTTTTTTATTGTACCGCAAAAGGAAGGGGGGTAAAGGAAGGAAGGGCGTCAGGAAGAGGGGTAAATCATCCACAAGGCAAGTGGTTAAAGAAGAATGTCATTAAAATAGTCAGGGACTACATAGCAACAAGTAAGTGCTGGGACAATGCACTTTGGTAGGAATATGTAATATTTTATACAGCATAACGAGTGCGAGAGTCAAGAGTATAAGATGTACCGTGAGCGCAATGGTCAAGAGTATGAAATGTAACATGAAAATGAAATGTATATAGTGCATGGGTCAGATGTGTGCAACACACAAGCACAGTGTTCAGGAGGTCATAACGCAGAGGGCAGGGGTATATAACGCACAGGCCAGCGTACACAGAACTAAAAGTTATCCCCTTCTTGCCAGTACAAATGAATTGTGGGGGCATGCTATAGGCCCCCTAACCTCAAGTATGAGGAGGGGATACATCTCCTTTCACAGAAATTACACAGAAGCAGGGCAATAATATTATTATGGGGGATTTCAACTGATATTGACTGGCCAGATAAAACTGCACACTCAACTAGGGCTTGTAATTGCAGGACACTGCCATAGTTCATATGATGGAAGTCTCAAATAGAAATAATACTGCGTTGATGGTGATGAGCTTATCCCTGTGTCACTCTGCGCTCTCCTCTCAGCACTCTTCTTGTCAGCACAGGAGCTAACTGGACCTTGCACTGCTTCTTTTTTCACTCCAGCTCTACTGTTCAGCGACTGCATGAGGCTGATACAAAGTCAAATTCAGGTACTTACATTGTTTGTGTTTAACCATTTCCTGCCCGGCTGCTGTATATAAACGGCCGGATGGTGGCAGTGAAGGGGCGGGTTGCTGTTCATAAATGGCGCCCGCCATTTTGGATTGTGCGTGCTCCCTGGGAGCACGCAGCACCGCGATCTGGAACACCGATCGCTGAACGGGACCTCTGTGTCAATACTGTCAAGTTGGTCAATCAGTGATCACATGAATAGGTGTAAGTAAGATGTCACTTGTGACATCATTGCTTACTACATGTGAAATCTGTGAATGATCACAGAGGTCACATGGTACAAGGCTATTCACAACAGCCTTGTACCATATGACAAGCTGTGACCAATCACAGCTCACACAGTATTTCTCAATGGCTGCAAGAATGCAGCCAGAGAGAAGGAGAAATTATTGCTTTTATAGCCTTTATGGGTGTAAAAGCAATCAGTGTAAAAAAAAAAAAAATCATCACCCCCTACAAGTAGTACAGTGTCACTATGGTGACACTGTACTGCTAGGGTGACAGTATGTTAAAAAAAACAAAATAATAATGTCAAAAAATAAAATAAAAATGTAAAAAAAATTTCTTTTGAAAAATTATAATTTTTGGTTATAAACTACTTTGGGTTATTATTATAAAATTTTGGCCAAGAAAATGAAGAATTTGAAGATTTATGAATTATGAAGATTTATGAAGAAAGATTATTTATTTACAAAATTTTATAAGAAAAACACTTTTCAAAATTTTTGGACTTTTTCATGTATATAGCAAAAAAAAAAAAAAAAAAAAATCAGTGGTGAATAAATAGCACCAAAATAAAGTTTATCTGTCTCAAAAAATGCTAAAATATTCATATGGGTACAGTGTTGCATGACTGTGCAATTGTCATTCAAAGTGTGACAGCGCTGAAAGCTGAAAATTGGCCTGAACAGGAAGGGGGTAAAAGTGTCCGGACTTGAAGTGGTTAAAATAAAACAAAACAAAAATAAACAACAATTATGTATTGATCATTATAGAGCTGCATTAATTTTTCTTTGGCTTTAACGTTAAGGGGTGGGTAGCTAAATACTCAAGAAAGTCAAAGCCCTAAAAACTGCAGTACCTGTTTATAATGACCAACCAGGTATAATATTTTATTCACTGGAAAATTAAACAAAGTTGCTGTGACCAACTGCTCCATTTTCTGTATATTGCCTTGCCCCAGCGTGTTATCAGCAGGCTCTAATGCTGTCTTTGATCAATGTGAGTACATACCAATAGAAGGTCTCCGTGCTGTGGCCAAGTGTAGGACCCCCAGAAGGAAGTTAATGACCTCTGGAACGAACCTCTGTGACAAGGACACGTATTCAAGGAACATACAACAGATGAAGAGACCTGCAGCCACATCTTCCAGTGAAGACACGGGGCACTGAAAGGAAAGTTGCACTTTTTACTAGAGATCTGGTATTTATGGAAAGCATATTGCCCTTCTTGGCATCAATATTTTTTTTTTTCCTTTATTCATAAAGCAACACCCAGATAGCCATGATGCAGCCATGTCAGCTGGGACATTTTCACAAGAAATACAGAACAGGAAGTGCGTTCTTACCTTCGTCAAGAGCTGGCTCATCACAGTGACAGCTGGAGTGATGACAGGGTGCCAGAAATCAGAAGTAGGAAATAAAATTGCAATGATCTTGAAGTAAAAAAGCTGAAAAGAGAAAAATAGCTGCAATTACATCTTCCCAGGTACATCTAAGTACAAACACCCTACAGCGATTCTTAGGCCCCTTTCACACTTGCACTTTCGCCATACTTTTTCAGGGCGACAAAAGCGTATGAAAACTATTCCTCATTAAATGCTAAGTAACTCCTCACACTGCAGGTGCGCCGCACTTTGAAAAGTCATGCATGCTGCATCTTTGGTACAGTTTTTCAGAAGTCAATGGAATCACATCAAAAGCACATTAGCGTGAAAATACCCTTAACCTCCTTAGCGGTTTTCCCGGGTGTAGCTCGGGGTAAAATTTCAATACCAAGAGCGGTAACCCCGAGCTACACTCGGGCTTACCATGCGGCGTTGCTCAGGGGGTCCCTGCAGCACTTACCTTGTCCTTCGCTCCCGCGATGTGTCCCCTGCAGCATCCCCGGCCATCTCCTCCGGCCGATGCCGGCTTCCGTGTTCCGGTCCCTGTGACGTCGGGACGTATGGGCGCCGGAACCAGCGGGAAATTTGAAATTTTTTAAAAATGTAATTTTTGCTGTCATTGCGGTTTCAATGCATTTCGCATATATTTTGTCCCTACTGCTTTGTCCTGTGCCCTGCCTACATTTTGACTGTTCTTTCTGCCTGGAAACTTAGAAAAGTCCATGACGTCCAAAAAGCGGTTTTAGAACAGCGATAGTAAATCAGAACCACTTGCAGAATTGAGTGATAATGATTTGTGGGGAAAATTAGTCATCAGACACTGAAAACGATTTTGTGACTTTGCTCAGCGATGTGCGAATTTGCCTCTGTATTTCAAATTTGTTTTTGGTTTGATTATATTAATTACATTTATTATTATTATTATTATTTTTTATGATTATTTATTAAATTATAATTTATGATTTCGTGTTTCAAGTTTTATCATACCCGGGGTGTTTACTAGACTCTTGTTCGGACAGATTTCAGTGAGTTATTCCTAAAAATTACAGCCTACAATAAAAAACTACATATTTCCATGCAAAAAAATGGTACCGCTTTCAGCACACAAAATCGGAAAGAATCATACCGTCAGGAGGTTAAGCTGCACAAAAGGGCATTGGTGTGAAAGGGCCCTAGTGAACATGTCAGCTATTTTCTCACATTTAGAAAAGTAAAAGACCTGTCTAAGAAGAGACAACAGGAGATGCCTGCTAGTTCTTTTGTTGACCAGAAAAACCATCTCTCTGTGCCTCTTTGAAACTAGTTTCCTTTCCCAAACTTAAATAAGCCCAGCAGACTGCTGCTCCTTTGTCCAATGACAGATTCTTTAGGGCTCAGTCACACAGGCGTTCAGTCCCATGCCATGTGAAGAGCTGTTGGTTTATCTCATGTACTAGAACTTATCTGCGAGCAGGCAGCCCATATATAATGGATTTGGCTGTACAGACTCACCTGCACAGCAGAGCTTGACAGTTATGCAGGAATGGGTCAGCAAACACAAATGCTCCTGCGCTTGGGGATGGACTCGATGCAGGCTACAACCACATTAAGAATGTCCTGGGACATGCACACCTTGCTGCCCTCAATAGACCGGGGGAATCCAAATATACTGAATGAGGAAAAGAACAGACAGGGTGCACAGGCCTAGTGCATTACCATAAAAAATGTTTAATAAGAAATAAAGTAGGTTTTGTACTCACAAATGAGAATAAAGTCAAGGCACATCTTAAAAGAACAGCTGGGTCAACACCGCACTGAGTAACAGTCCACAATAGGGAGTGTAGACATCCAGTAGCCTGACGCATTCCGAGGGCTTGCCTTTTCCTCAGAGCCAGAGTGGCTTGACTTTATTGTCGTTTGTGAGTACAACACCTACTTTATTTCTTATTAAACATATTTTATGGTAATGCACTAGGCCTGTGCGCCCTGTTTGTTCTTTCCTCACGCAGGAATGGGTGCATGGACCACGATGCAGAGCCTGTGCAGCTCTTCACAATGCAGATAACAGTTCAGGGAAGTCAGTCCCTTACTAATGTGAAACTATTTTACGAGTAATTTTTCTTGGTTAATAAAGACAAAGCACCACTCTTCCCATCTGGGGTGGGTGGGGATGACCCCCTAAATAGCGGCAGGCTAGCAATTCATTTCTGGAGGGGGGGTTCTTGGGGAAATTTGGCAACCGTCACCTTAGCATGTGGTAATGACTAAGCGATGTCTTTAGCGTGAAACACGTTTACCTGCTAGTACCCCACTGTATTTCCACTGTCTGTATTGGTTTTATCTTGGTTCAATAAAGTGGACTGTTTGGAGTGCAGCCGATCAGACGTCCTTTGTTCTCGTCACTTGTTCTCGTGTTTTACAGGTTTATTTAGTTCAGTAACTCAGGACAGGATTAGGACACTGGCTACCCAAAACCAGGCACTACTCTAGACTTCGCTTTTAGTAGTGCAGGTATTTGGCCCTTTATTAACAACCAAGCACAACTCAGACTCTACGTGATCAATCACAGGTATTTTCATGGATGAGCAATGAGGACATTTTGCAATGTTCCCTGGAGGCAGCTTATACCCAGCTCTCCAGAACACTCTTCAGCACAGAAGCCTCCATCTAAGTTGTTCCATACAGCTTTTTTTCTCTGCAACCTCTGGATGTACCCTCCAGTAAAACAACAACAATACTTTAAGCTCCAAGACACAGGCCAACTTTTGCTTCCTTGGGATCAGACTGGAGCCCTTCTCTTTGCCATCCCCTCTCCATGCAGAAGGCCTGGGAGGCAAAGACCCATCTTTTCTGGCATCCACTCTCTACTAGAAGGGTTTTCCTCAATATTTATTTCTGCCTCCAGTCTATAGCACTGGCAATAAACCTCCTAGCGATTGGCCAGAGAGAAACAAAGATTTATAACTCGTAACACAGTTTCTTCTAACTCTTATCTTCTGGAAACATTCTCCGGTAACAGGAAGAAGCCAAGAAAATCCTGAACTTAGGAGAACCCTAACAAACACAGAGGCAATAATAATCAGAGCATAGGCTGACTACAGCCTAGCTGTCCTCTAAATTACACTACGGACACTCCATCTTATGGCAGGGATAAGCTGGAGTATCAATGGTAAATAAAAAAGTGTTTGTAGAGAATTTACCTCATCAGTGGCTGCCTAACAAACACAAAGGGAGGACACCATAACCAGAAGATGATAACAGAGAGGTGACAGCAAAGTAGATCTGTCAGCGCTGGAAAACACTGGAGCTCACCCCTCTGCAGTTTTGCCTAAAACTGTTCATAGTTTGTAATCTGAAAGTGGCACTAACAATCTGTAACACAAAAGCAGCCAATCAGTGAGATAAACCAACACCCAACCATTCCATTCCCCTAGGTACCCTTGTATAAAAAATAAAGGTTTAAGCACACTGGGCATATGAAGCTACACAGACATTTCTGGTTTCTAATCATCTTATTCTGGCTCATACATGAGGGGATCCTAAAAATAAAAAATAGAGGAAATAAGAGGGAATATATCAAAATTACCAAAGATAAACAAGGAATCAATCTTTAAATCTGATCATAGTGCTATCCTCCCAAGATTCTTTGTTGCGCTTATTTCCATACTATACACAGTGAAATGCAGTACAATTACACCAAAGCCACCGAAAGCAAATACAGCTTTTTTCCAGATCAGACTGATACATGTGGCTATACAGTTTATATGGGGCACAATCACATCCACTACAGTGATGAATCAAAAGAAAGAACTACTGGGACTTAGTCAAGGGATGAATACTACATACTACGTGTAAAGCGGGGAATGTAGCCCGGCCTTTAGATTCTATTGCTTCATCCAAAGTATGAGCGATATCCTGTAGGGCCTCTCTCACACACTCCGCTGCTGTTTCTGGGAACATCTGGCACAAGCTGTACAGGGGCCTGAAATAAAAAAAGAAAACAGAAATGTTCTAAACAATGACGCTCTGGAAAATCATATTCTTCTGGAAGTTTTCAAAGCCACTTTCTTTTTTATTCTAAAACGTATCTGCTGCAATCTTAGAGGTTAAATAGTGGATAACATTATCATTTTTAGGAAAGAGAAACCTGCAGAGAGAAAACAACAGGATGTTTCTCATCTTGTGTCTATTTCTTTTGTCAGTTTCTCACCTTGACTTTAACCGCTTCCCGTCCGCCCTATAGCAGAACTACTGCTACAGGGTGGCAGGGCTGCGCAAAATCACGTATATATGCAAATGATTTTGTATTTCCCAGTAAGGGGCGCACATGCGCCACCCTACATGCGCCGTCATTGGCAGCTACAGGTGTCGATCACCGAGTGCCGGCCGGAGATTCTCTGCCGGCACCTGGTGATCGCCTAGGAACACTGACAGGGGAGAGGTCTGTATGTAAACAATACAGATCTCTCCCGTCAGCTCCAGCATGCTCCTGTGTATCTCTCTGCTATTACAAGGTAAAACACACACAGCACACAGTTAACCCTTTGATCACCCCAGATGTTAACCACTTCCTGCACAGTGCCATTAGTACAGTGTCAGTGCTTTTTAATAGCACTGATCACTGTGTTAGTGTCACTGGGGATCTCAGTGGCAGTTAGTATCAGAATGCCCACTGCAGTTCCGCTATAAGTCGCCGATCGCCGCCATTACTAGTATAGAAAAAAAAATTCCAGTATATATATATACCGCCATTTGCAGACATAACTTTCACGTAAACCAATTAATTTCCGTGTATTGGGATTTTTTTTTTTCAGCAAAGACATGTAACAGAATACAATTTGGCCTAAATTTATGAAAAAACTTGATTTTTTAAAAATGTTTTTACTGGAAATGTTTAATAGCAAAAAGTCAAAAATATTGGGCTTTTTACAAAAAATTGTTTGTCTTTTTTGTTTATAGCACAAAAAAAAACAAAAACACAGAGGCGATCAAATATCACTGAAAGAAAGCTCTATTTGTGGGAAAAAAAAAGGACGTAAATTTAATTTGGGTGCAGCACTGCATGACCGCGCAACTGACAGTTAAAGTAATGCAGCACCGTATTGCAAAAAATGTCCTGGTAAGGAAGGGGGGTAAATTCTCAGGAGGGCAAATGGTTAATGCTCATCCCTACCAGCTTCACAGACCTGCAGAGCTGGCAACTCATGCCTAATAATATTATTATATAACTGTATCAACTACAAGTTTAGGGCTTGAGCAGTTAATAGAGGACTCAACTCTAAGCAAAAAGGTATTTATAGTTTACAATGGCAGAAATGTTTAGCTCTCTAAATTTGAAATATATTTGAAGATTTTTTTAAAGCGCATATCCAGGAAAAGGAACAATCTTTCCTTTCAGTGGGGCTTCCGCCACATTGCAAGGGTTAAATGCTTAATTATGTCTAGAGGTCCACAAAAAGCAGTTTTACTGTCCTAATCCTCAGGCTTACTAGGCAGCTCTTCCTCTCCCGTCCAGCTATGGATTATCCACCGGTGTCCTCGTGTCCATTGCAGGGCACTGCAGTGGACCTGATGATATCAGAGGACATTAGACTGTTGGTAGCACAGGGGATCGGTCTTAATCAGCCAATACGTTGGTCAGTTTTTTTTGTTCAACTGTAGGGTTGAGTGAAAAAAAAAATAACTGACCCGAATCTCTTATCTACACATTTGAGGTGGATGGGGAAATCCCCCCCCCTCTGTGCTATTGTATTCTAACAACAGGAAGATATCCCCACCGTCAGAAATCATTGATCAGCGCTGCAAGCTACAGCCTGCAGCACTGATAAAGTGGGGAAAATCCAACAGGGTGGTTGTACAGAAGTCAATCGGCAGATTGACTTCTCTAAAACCACAGTGCTCATACATGGATCGAAATTTGGCCAGCTTTACAGCCTGAAAGAACCTGCAGGATCACGTAAGTCAAAATGCTTTTTGCAGTTCCCTGGACATAAATGGGCAATTAATCAAGCCATGTTGTGTGCGTCTATGGGCGCACACAGCCAAGCTCAGCGGAGCACCTGCATGGGTGCCTCCTCAGCATACAGCTTGCTGAGGGGGCACTCAGAAGAAGGAGAGGACAATGCTGTCTGGAGACTGCAGAAGAAGAGGTAAGAGACCGTTCTGTGCAAAGAGCAGGTAAGTAAAACATGTTTTTATTTTAATAAATAAACACAGCATTTAATATCTCTTTAAATGTTATTCTTTAGTACATCATGGCATATCGTAGTTCTCTGCCTACAGTTGCTAATTACATCATTCCATAGATCAGTTCACATAGTTATCCTTATAAATCCCTGCAAGTTTTCCTATCAGAGGCAAGCGCATTGTTTTGTATTTTGCCCAGATTTTAAACCACACACACACTATAAACATTAACAGTTATCTCCTATAGTCGCTGCCTATGCTGGCCCCGGATCCGTGATCCCTCTAGTTTCCCTTCTTTCATGTTTTCTTTCTGATTCCCTTTTTGATATTATGTTGGATTACTGCTGCAATTTGGTTCGGCTTTTGCCATCCCTTCTTGAGGTCATTGGACATTTCGTTATTTGACTAATACAAGTCAGCAGGATGTCTCGGTTTATATGTTATCGTTCTGCTCTGTCTCTGTGAGGGTGTATTTTGAGCTTGTTCTAGTCTTAAAAACAAAACTTTCTTAATAAAAATATTGAAACAGAAAAATTAAGTTATTTATTACATGATAAAGGATTCCAAAAACAATACGGGTTAAACCAAAAAGACAACACAGGAAAAGTAAGGCTGATCATACATTATACAATTTTCTTGAGAATTTTGCTTTAAATTCACCAAAAACCATATAGTATGAGGTCAAACCTTAACAACACTTTCAACTGTATCCAATTAGTCAGGTCCTTGTACTACATAGTTGAAGGTAAATCTAAAGGAAATTGGGCAGAAAACGGTAAGAAAATTGTATAGTGTATGGCCAGCCTAACTCCCATTCAAACTCAAGTGCTTTTATTGAAACATCAGTCTCAGCTGTGTGATTACAGATGAGTAATAGAAAGAAGTGGTGTGAGTGTGGTCAGTGCATGCAAGGATAGTAACGTAAAACCACCCTAAAACAGAATGTTACCTTTTTAATGGCCTGTGTGTTAAAACGCTGCCACACTGCAGATCTTCAGCTGCCTCTGTTATTCGCCACTTTTGGATGTGTCGAATACCTTCTCCCCTGCCATGTGTTGTGGTTCTTCTCGCCAGCCCCCAAGTCTTGTACCCACATCAAAGCTGGAATGAAAAACCACAACGCACAGCAAGGTTGCAGGTATTCCACACACTGAGTGTCTACTACCTGCAACAGCCAGAGATAATCAATACTGCACAGATTTAAAGTGCAGGCCATTGGATAGGTAAATTACACACCTTTTGATGAATGAAAGGGTTGCTTAAAATTTCAAACTGCATAATTCTTGCCTGAAATCAAGAGGCAGATTTCTACTAAACGTGGTAATGAGAAACACAAGAGAGCGAGAGCGCCTCCTGCTGTTTGGATAACATACTGCATATCCAATTTCTCATAATTAGTTTGTCCCCTACACACAAACTTTCAAAGATACAAAATGTGTTTGTATGTCCAATCGTATGAGTTAGTTTGTATTTCTAACATTCATTCTTATGCAAGCATCCTCTTCGAGTGGTTGTATTATTTGTGTGAATGTGTTATAAAACTATTACAGTCATTTATTGGGCCGATTGGGTTTGTTGGGTACTTTGTTGGATTTATGAACAGGTTCTCGGAATGGAACTCATTCGTATATAGAGGACTTACTGTACCTGACAGATATCTTTTTTCCTGACTGTAATAAAGAAAGCCAATATGTACAAAGTTACTACACATCCCCCATGAAATGAATCACTTACAGAATTAGTTTGTCAACAGTTTTCAGATCTGGCGTTTCCTGCTCAGCCAAGTCAATAATATAATCCAAGAGGAAACCAAACAATTTCTGTAAAATAATGACAAAGAAAACTTCACACACAAAAAAAAAATAAAAAACTTTATACAGATCAGTAATCAGTCCAGCAATACAGAGCAAAAGTTGGGGAAAGGCAACACTAGACTGTCTACAAACTTCCACACTAGTTAAATGATGTGGTGGCCCTTTAAGGGGAACAGTAATCCTTTTACATATATACATACATATAAAGTAGATGAAGTGTAAATATCCTATTTTATCAGTTTTTAGATTAGTTATGTATAGAGTGGGAAAACAGTTAGATCATCAGTCAGGTTTTTATTTTTTGTCTGTGTGCCTCAGGGGGGGATTCACTCTAATTTTGAATTGTGGAAATCTTCCAATGTAATCCTTGTTTCAATGACAACTGTCTAAAAGGGGATTGAGCTTGCTTTGGTGATTACTAGCTGTGTCTACAGAACAGGAAGTGAAGGGAAACACCTAAAATCTGGCACAAATGGCAAAAACATAAAAAATAAAACCTACCAAAGTTTAACACATTCTCTAATCAACTAACCATGCTTGAAAGGATTAACCCCCCGAAACTGTGTGAAAATGAACTAATATTTCCATGTGATGGTCACCTAAAATTAAAGTGTCTGATTCTCCCTCCACTCCAGAAATTGTTCAGTGAAGGGTCGCTCTCTCATTTCTATGGTCTCCTTTACGCTTCTTAATATTGGATGCTATGGTGCCAACAATACCCACATACAGAAGGGTCTTAGAGGATTCTTATTGAAAGATCTAAAACGGGCCAACAGTTCTCATCTCACCTCTAGCTTGGCCTTATTCCCATCAGCAAGGCTCGGGTGGTTACACTTCTGAATCCTCTCCAGTATGACCAGCTGCTGTTCTGTAGTCTTCTCTCTCAGCAGAGACTGGAAACTCTCCTGTGATTCGGGAACTGATAATGCCATAAATACAAAGAGATGAACCAATAACTAGGACACCAAATTTCAGAGCTTTTACCAAGATATTATCCCCTACAACTTACATCATACAACTAAGAACCAAAGGTCTCACCAAAATGTCAAAAAAAAAAAAAAAATGTTAGGCCCAAAAGCAACCAATCTGGACAAACCATGGACAATGACAGCTTGAGACCAGCTTGAGCTCCATTCAGGAGGATGAAGACAATTCATACTGTATATTAAATAAGAATTCCTGACATAAAATGGAATGGGAATTCTCATACAGAGTGACCTCAGAATTGGGAATGTTTATTAAAGCAATAGCAATGCACTCTGACTGCTTCAAACAGATGAAAAGATTCAATCTGACTGGGTTAGTGGATTTTGATACAGTAAAAGATTCAGTTTACATAAAGCAATGTCAGTCCATATATCTATACTACAATGCAGATTTACTTATTATTATTATTATACAGTATTTATAAAGCGCCAATAGTTCACTCAGCGCTGTACATTACAAGGGGGGACAGAACATGTGACAGAACAATACCAATACAATGCAAAACATGAGGAGATTGACAATCGAGTTTACAATCTAGGAGGGAGGGGATGGTGGCACAGGAGGAGATAGCTGTGGGGGATGGAGTGGTAGGAAGAGTGGAGGAGGTCGGCAAGTTAGCAGGGGGTGGGGTAGGCTTCCCTGAAGAGATGGGTTTTCAGTGTGCGCCTAAAGGAGAGGAGAGTAGGTGATAATCTGATGGGTTGGGGCAGGGAGTTCCAGAGGATGGGTGACACCCTGGAGAAGTCCTGGAGGCGGGCATGGGAGGAGGAGACCAGGGAACTAGAGAGAAGGAGGTCTTGTGAGGAGCGGAGTGTGCGTGCTGGGCGGTACTTGGATATTAGGTCAGTGATGTACTTCGGGGCAGTATGGTGGACAGCTTTGTACATCAGTGCTAGGATTTTGAATTTGATCCGTTGCGCAATCGGAAGCCAGTGGAGGGATTGGCAGAGGGGGGTGGCGGAAACGGAGCGGTTGGTAAGGTGAATGAGTCTGGCAGCCGTATTCAGGATCGACTGAAGCGGGGATAGCCAGCGGCGAGGCAGGCCAGTGAGGAGGGAGTTGCAGTAGTCGAGTCGTGATATGATGAGGGAGTGGATGAGCTGTTTAGTGGTTTCTGGGGTTAGGAACGTGCGGATTTTGGCGATGTTGCGGAGGTGGAGTCTGCATGAGTTTGTTAAAGATTGGACTTGGGGCTGGAAGGATAGGTTGGAGTCCAGAATGACACCAAGTACTCTGGCCTGCGGGGCGGGCCTGATAGTGGCATTGTTGGATGTGATGGAGAAGTCAATGGGGGGTGGTGTCCGGGCTGGGGGGAAGACAAGAAACTCGGTTTTGGAGAGGTTCAGTTTAAGGAAGTGGAGCGACATCCAGTCTGATATGTCGCTCAGTAGGTGTGTGATTCAGGCGGAGACCGAGGGGGTGAGGTGGGGGGTTGAGAGATAGATTTGTATATAAAAGTCTTTAAGCAACACATGGGACAACTTATTTATTTTTGGGTTTCAATTTCCATAGCGCTTTTCTTTAACACTTTTATGAGGTGGGGCTAGCTAAATAATTGGCTAATTACCAATCATATGGTAATATACACTGGATATCAAGAAACGAGAATGGTCTAAGATTTTCTGGCCATACACAGATGTTTGACTCAACGATTGTGTCGAGTATTCAGATTTGATAGTGTACAAATGGCTTTCAAAAGGAATGGAAAGCTGACTCGGCAAAGCATTTGATTGACAGCCATTGGCTCCCACTGCTATCAATCTGCCCAGGGAGGAGGGAGACAGTGGAGAGAGCTGCTGCTCTGATACACATCACTGGATCGAATCAGGCTCAGGTAAGTATATTGGGGGGCTGGGGGGGCATCCTGCAGCACAGAAGGTATTTCTTCCTAATACATAGAATGCATTAAGGTGAAAAACCTTAAGGCTTTAGAACCACTTTAAGTGTAAGATACTGTAAATATAAGTTAATTATGCAAAAAAAAAAAAAAAAAAAAAAACACATCTTCATTTCCTGAGTTATCTTCTACTCTCAAGAAATTCAGCAAAATTTTAACTTCCTGTGACAGCAAAGAGCTAATATAACTATGTACAGTTTATGGCCAAAGAAAAGGAAGACACATAGTAAAAGATATTAAACATACATAACTAGGGCTCTGTCTCATCTCCTAGACAAGGCTCTAAAATGAAAGACTATGGAGAGAGGTTATAGAAAATGTTGTGCCCTGCCTCCTAGGCGAGAGGTTTAGTCCCCTCTATGTTCCCACCAGGGGTGTGGAAATTTTTTTAAAAACTACTTGTCCAAGGGACTAAATCGGGGTCCCAATCTACTTGTCCCTCAGGACAATCCACTTATCCTAATAAACAAAAATAATAATTTTAACACCTCCCTGCTTGAATCCAGCCCCTCACCCGTGGACTAGAAGAGAGGAGGGAGACCTTGAAGGGCGATTGTCAGGAAAGGGGAACGTCGGGCTCTTTTAACGTTCAGCAGAAGTGCTTCTACTGAGCAAGTAAAAGATGTACCGGCTCCAGTGAGAGAAAAAAAAACTTTATTCTGTCAGGTAGTACTAAGTGTATGCTGAGCAGCCAAATCAAGCTCCAATGTATCATCAAGATTTGTATCCTTTGAAGACTATATCCCCTGCTGCAACTGTGCATGTGCCAGAATCAGGGAAAACAAGCCAAGCGCTGAGCTAAAGCCGGAGAGGTACCTAAAGTCACTTAGCTCCTTACATGCCGGACTACAACACAGGCACACGGTGCTACAGCCGCTGTGAAATCCTATATCACCCCGTATATCCCTGGGGATCAGCACTGTTAATATTGATGACCAGAGTCTGTGTCCCCGCTTGGTTATCAGGGTGCCTGAGCTACTGAATCCCGATCAGTAACATGCCTGGGTTGTAGTCCGGCATGTAAGGAGTTAAGTGACTTAGCTTGGCTTGTTTTCCCTGATTTTAGTGCATGTGCAGTTGCTGCAGAAGATACAGATCTTCATGCTACAGTGGTGTCCGATATATACTACAGTGCCAATGTCATGGACTAATCAGAGGCCAAGAGTACAGGCATGACCCCCCCCCCCCATACCAGGACAGGCATGACCCTCCCCCCCTCATAAGAGGACAGGTATGCCCCCCTATAAGAGGACAGGCTTGACCCTCCCCCCCTCATAAGAGGATAGGCATGACCCCCCCCCCCAAATAAGAGCATAGACATACCTCCCCCTATAAGAGGACAGGCATGACCCCACTCCTATAGAAGGATAGGCATGACCCCCCTGTATAAGAGGACAAGCATGACCCCCCCCCCTCCTTTTTTTTTTTTTACAAGAGGACCAGAATGACCCTCCCCTCTCCTACAAGAGGGCAGACATGACCCCCCTATAAAAGGATAGGCATGACCCCTTCCCCCACAAGAGGACAGGAATGACTCTCTCCCCTCTCCTACAAGAGGACAGATATGACCCCCCCATAAAAGGACAGGCATTACCCCCCTCCCCCCCCCAATAAGAGTACAGACATGTCCTCCCTCCTACAAAAGGACAGACATGACCCCCCCCCTTTTTTTTCTTTTACAAGAGGACAGGAATGACCCTCCCCTTTCCTACAAGAGGACAGACATGATCCCCTATAAAAGTACAGACATGACTCCCCCTATAGGAGGATAGGCATGACCCCCCCCACAAGAGGACAGGAATGACTCTCCCCTCTCCTACAAGGACAGATATGACCCCGCTATAAAAAAAACAGACATGACACCCGCCCCTCCCCCCATAACAGTACAGACATGACCTCCTCTCCCCTATAAGAGAACAGACATAACCCCCCTCCTACAAAAGGACAGACATGACCCCCCCTTCCCTCCTATAAGAGAACAGGCTTGACACCCCCATCCTATAAGAGGACAGACATCTCCCCCCACACCTCCTATAAGAAGACAGATATGACCCCCCTGAATGTATGGCCAGGTGGAGTGTGGGTAATGCACCCCCCCCCCCCCCCCAATGGTCTCCGGTCTCCATCCTCTCGGCAATGTCCCGGTGTAGGCGGCTAAAAACCAATACCCCCACACCCCCCTCCCGGTCACGCTTTTCAGCCATCTGGTCACACAGTTTCAAGAGGGCAGACAGCCCAACTCCACATGACACTGGCGGCTTCTTCAGGACTTCCCCCTCATGCAGTGCCAGCAGTAGGTCTGTCTGCATTGTCACCAGGTCCTTCAGGAAAGCGGCCACAGCCTGGCCCTGCTGCTGCCCACCGTTCTAGGTATAGCATAAAGATATGCATCTCCTGCAGCTACCGCTTGTTACAGGATACAGATCTTCATGCTACATCGGTGTCCACTCCGTTAAGGGGAAAAAAAAGTAAATTTTGCTACTTGCCTGCAGGGCTAAATTTAATAAAGAACTACCTGCCCAGCGCCCATAACTGCATGTCCTGGGCATCGGGCACTAGGAATAGTGCATCCCTGTCCCACTGAGAAACCACATGTTAAACCTCAGCATGTAGTTACAATACATTAGCTTAATAAAAGCTGTAAGTTGAGCCAAGTCCTTGTTAAATAAGAACTTACCATCAAATGTGAATGGCAAATCAGAACTTGCCTCCATGGCTTTTTTTTTTTTGGGTTTGTCTTTTCCCTTTTTTGGTTTTACTTCTTCTTCCCCTTCCTCCTCAGCACTCTCTGCATTAGATTCCAAGTCAGAGAAATTATCTGAAGCATCACTGCCTTCATCATCTTCCTCTTCATTGTCATCATCTTCCTCCTTTTCACTTCCATCTTCTGCATCTTCATCTGCCTCACTACCCTCATTCCCAGTACCTGGTTCCTCCTCCTCCTTTTTATCTGTGTCTCCATTTTTTTTCATCAGCCTCTTCTGACTTTGGTAGATTCATCTTCCCATCCTATGAATGCAAAAAAAAAATAAAACAAAAACAAAAAAATGACACTAAGACAGTTATCAAGCCTTATTGTATCCAAATGAAGCTAAGTCGGTGAAAGTCGTGCGTGTATCAACTAAATTGTCAAAAACAATTTCAAGGAGAAATCTGGAGGGGCATGCACATTCTAAAGCTACTTTAATTGCTTACTGCATGCTTATGCACGGTCTGAATGGGCAAAGCTCTGACAGCTCCCGAGAATTGCTGGACCTTGTCCGTTCCCTTCTGCCTTCCCACAATGCAATTGGACCACCACTATGCTGGACTGTCTCACTGTTTCCAAATTGAATGTATGGAAGGAAGAAGGGGACAGGCAAGTTCTGTCATAACAATGGGGTGCAGAAGCTTTGCTGGTTCATAACAGCCCAGAATCAAGGATAAAGGATGCAATTAAACCTGCCACAGGTATGCACAGGCACCTCTAGACATTTATTTTTTAAGTGACGGCTGAAGCGTATTATTGCTTTTTGTAATGCACCTTGGGACGAAGAGATAATCATCTGACTTCAAATGACAGATTGACTGTAAGGAGAAATCTCATTATGCCCACGTTACAGCTATTGCAATGTAACGGTGAAAGGCCTGTGTGCACAGCAAGCGTCTAAGAGGGTATGACTGAAGGGAGTGCATTCAACCACAGTTTACAGTTGTAATGAAAACTGCTCCAGTGGTGTTCTATCTTTATAATGCCAATAATGCTCTTTGAATTGTGTGTTATGGGTGCACACAATGTTAACCACTTGTGGACCAGCAACGTACCCATACGTTGCTGGACTGAGTGATTGTATCAGGATGATGAGTGCAGCTGCAGGCATCAATCCCATTATTGTTTTTTTTTCAGCCAGTGGTCAGCTTTCTTGTACAAGCAATCCTAGCAGCTAATTAGTCACTGGATTGCTTTTACAAGCAGCGAAAGGGACGCCACCCCCCTCCCATGACTCTCTTGGGATCGCCTATCCCACCGAGTAACTAGAGAACGCAGCTGACAGTTCCCACTGGCTGATCAGAGACAAGAACAGCTCTGACCATCTCTATGGTCTAAGAAACCAAAAGCAATGAGCATTTCATCACTTTCGGTTTCGTGGCTAGAGTTCACAAAAATAAAAAAAAGCTATAAACAGGATAGTGGAAAATCTCCTGTGTGCATAAAAACAGAAAATAAATATTTTTTTAGCCATTGGGAGAAGATTCTCAGCATGGATGTTCCAAAAGCTGTTCCATTATAAAATTAGTATAAAGACATACTTTAAATATCCCTACTGGTTATTGTATAGGCTATGCATACATTTGCTAAAGCTTACCTTATAGGAAAGCATGAGGCGATCGTCTTTATCCAGTACGAACCCATCCATTAAATCATCTGCAGAGATGTGTTTGGGCTTCTTCTTAGACTTACCATCCTCCCATCGCATTCGGCGTAGCCTCTCAGCCTGCATTTAAAAGCATACAACAGTTCAAAACCAACAATTGCAATTCAAAGTCAGTCAGGAGACACATCCTAGCTAGCTAAATCTTTTAGTTAGTATGCATAACTTCCAAAAAGGACTTTAAGTTAAGCCTGTCGAAATGCAGGCAGGTGTGTTCATCTGCGGATACTCTCCACCCTCTCAGAGCTCACTGCAGCTTCACTTGCAAAGACCAAAGCATGAGAAGGTAAAGAGGAAATCATTTTCAATTAACCACTTGACCTCCAAAAGATTTCCCCCCCTTCCTGACCATTCCATTTTTTGCAATACGGTGCTGCGTCGTCGCTTTAACTGACAATTGGACAGACATGCAATGCTGTACTCAAATGAAATTTATGTCCTTTTTTCCCAAAAATAGAGCTTTCTTTTGATGGTATTTGATCCTCTCTGCATTTTTTCCTTTTTGCGCTACAAACAAAAAATATTGTTTTTTTTTTTTTTCCAAAATTGTCGGTCTTTTTTTTTATTTTCTGTTATAAAACATATCCAATAAAAAAAAAAATCTTAAAAACCAGATTTCTTCATAAATTTAGACCAAAATGTATTATACTACATATTTTTGGTAAACAAAAAATCCCAATAATTATATATTGATTAATTTGCTCAAAACTTATAGCGTTTTTTATACTAGTAACGGCGGCGATCAGCGACTTATAGCAAGACTGTGATAATGCGGCGGACATTTTTACACTGACACTTTGCAGGAACCAGTGATATGAATACAGGGATCAGTGCTACAAATATGAATGGACACTGTACTAACGACACTGGCTGGGAAGGGGTCAACATCTAAGGTGATCAAAGGGTTAAGTGTGTGCCTAGCTATGTGCTTGGTGTACACTACGTGGTGCTTTTACTATGGGCAGTGATGGATCGTGTTCTCAACTCTGCAGATAGCTCTGTTCTTCCCTGACCGCCGATGCCAGCGAGCAACTGCTTGCCCAGTTTACAGTAGAGGACTTCCTCTGGCAGCGCGTAACCCCCCCCCCCCCCCCCCCCATGTGGCAAAAGTGCAAAATGACATTTATGTGATTCTGAACAGGAATGACACCCTGTAGCAGTAGAACTGCTATAGGGTGGAGGGTAAGTGGTTAATAACAGAGAAAGGGGAGTGAGCAGCTGAAAAGGAAGTTACTACATGTGACATTATTGACAATAACATAACCATAAACAAGCATATGCCATCTTTTAGAACTGGAATGCACAACGTTACAGGTAAGCAGGAGTACAATTACCATACCTCTAGTTTCTGAAGTCTCTCCTGTTCTTCCTTAGCAATCTCCTCTTCCGATTTCATCCTGTCCGAGGGCTGAGCCTTCATCATCTCAAATCCAAGCTCTCGAACAATCTTGTCATAGTCATCAGGCTGTGAAAACCCAAAACACACTCCATAAACAGAACAAAAAATTGCTATACAAAATGTTAAAACAAAAGAAAAAAAACTGCAATACAATTCCATTTAACAGAAATACAAATGACTATCTTCTATTTTGGGTAACATAAACGTTAAAAGGATAGATGTAATAGGCATAAACAAGAAGATAATGTAATGTAGGTCACCCAGCATGAGAACTGTAACTGTCCACTTTTGCCCACTAAGTGACACTGCGTACACATTGTGCTTACAGTGACACTTCTATCATCTCAGCCCAAACTGTCTCACCTTCAGTTCTGAACCTCAGTGCTGCCACCAGCAAGACAGCTCTGACATGAGGAAGCAAAGCCTTCTCCTCTACCAAGATGGCTACATCCACATACAGCACAGTGCAGAACAAAGCATGAAAAACCAGCAGGGAAAGATTAGCTGCACAAAGACTATATTAATCATATCGAATTACACATACTCATAAGATCTGTACATTTAGTGCCTTAAAGAGGTGTTCCAGTGAAAAAAAAAAAAAAAAGTCACTGCTGCCGACTTTAAAAAAACAGCCACTCACCTGTCCCTCGATCCTGCGGTGTCCTCCCTGCAGCCCGTTTCACCGTCAACTATGTGTTCCAGATGTCGGCATCTTCAGTGTGGGCACCTGGCTGCGACAGCTTGCGGCTCCACGGGTGCCCACTGCGTATGCGCAAGTAGCGCTGTGCTTTCTGAATGGTCGCATAGTCTTTTGGGTCCTGTCACATGTCCCAGAAGACTACGGGGGGGGGGTTGGAGGAAAACTTCCATTTCTGATCGCCTAGGTAATCACTGCGGAAGTGGGTACTTGTCAATTTCGGGTACACGCTTCCCAAAGATGCCAATCCTTAATGGGGAGCTGGGGACCAGTCCTTAAAGCGGAACTTCCCCTTTTGGGTGGAGATTCGCTTTAAATGACCTTGAATATTGCCGGGAACTAAAAATTACTTCATGAAGGACTAAAAACAGATCTTTTTACACATGAATTTACATCTCTTGTTAAAAAGTCATTGCGGTACCATCTAGCACACCACAGCTCACCTTTGGTTTTTCAGCTTCAGCCTTCCTCTCAGATTTAGGAGTCTTATGAGCAAGCAACGTCTGTATAGCTTTCCAGTCAGTGTCTAGTTTTTCGGTCAGCTCCATGGCCTTCTCTCTTTGACTCTGCCTCTCTCTCTGTTAAAACAGAAAATATTAAAACAGCAGAAAAGTAAAAACATCAAAGCAAGAAATTCCTAAAATTTTTGTGAAGCAAAATTACCCCCACAGATTTCTACAGAGGAAGTCCAAAGGAAGCTTAGCAGCAGGGTGATCAGTTCCAACCCTGGCAAGGCTGAACTACTTGTTTCATCTGCCTGAAAATCCTCCATATTTTGCTTAGGAGAATCCAATAGAGCAGAGGTGCCAAACACAAGGCCCGTGGGCCAAATCTGGCCCTCCAGGCCATTTCACCTTGTCTAAGCAGTCGGCAGCAAAGAGAATAGAACTCCACTGCCAAATCCTGCACCTCTCAGTGCAGCTGCCTCCCCTGGTCTCAGCATTCAGCAGACTCTGGTAACTGACTCCACTCCTCCTCTGGTGCTCCTCAAGACCCTGCACTTTCTGCTTTCCAGTTCTGCCCCCAAAGAGGGTGCACGGTGATGTTAGAGAGGGTGTGGGATTCTTGACATCTGATGTAATGGGGGGTGGGGTGCTCTGGACATCTAGTCTTACAAATAATACTGGCCCTTTGAGGGCAACCATAATGCTGATGCAGCCAGCGATCAAATGGAGTTTGACACCCCTGCACTAGAGGGTATAATATTCTTGTACCTGTAACCTTCTACTGTATACACAATGGGAATATATAGAAAAAAAACTCATTCAGGTCATTTCCTGTCCCACTGACACCCTAGAGCAGAGCAGGAAGTGAGGGAACATCTCCCAAACAGGACAAACATGGACAGTAATAAAGATGTGACTGAGGTTCTGACCCTGTATTACCTTAAATTTAAAAAAAACTAGAATTTTTGTTTTACTAGTGATAGATCCATTCTTTTCCTACACACATAGGAAAACTTTCATATTGCCTACCTTGCACTAGCAATTTGGTTATGGATAAAATACTAAAGGGCTAGATCCACCTTTAGGTTTTATCGCTGCCCATATCCATTTGCTATAAATTTCTCCTTACTTCCTGTCCTTGCAACACATTAGAAAGTAAGGACATCTCCGCAACAGATGACGCAAACCTTACAGTGTTTTCTTTTCCCATTCTACTTATAGAAGTGCATTCCATGCTGTCTGAGTTCCTGTGGTAGAGATTCTGATTACTTCTTTTTCAGCAATAAGAAACCTTCAAGAACAGAAAAAGGCACTAAAACCCTGACAGATTTTAAGAGGTTAAAGTTCAACTTGTAGGTAAAGAAAAAAAAGAGGTTTTGCCCTTCAATTCTACCTTATTAAGACAAAAAGCAATGTGCAAAGTATGGTCACCTATAGCAAGCAGTGAGCATCATCTTCCACTGCTGCAGGTTGGAGCACTATGCACTTTACCAAGACTCCAAGTACAGTGCCTTCAAAAAGTATTCATACCCTTTGAAATTTTCCACATTTTGCCATGTTACAACCAAGTGTGGTGTGCATTTGTATTCAGCCCTCCGGAGTCAATACTTTGTAGATCCACATTTCGCTGCAGTTACAGCTGCAAGTCTTTTTGGAGATGTCTCTACAAGCTTTGCACATCTAGAGAGGGACATTTTTGCCCATTCTTCTTTGCAAAATAGCTCAAGCTCTGTCAGATTGGATGGAGAACGTCTGTGAACAGCAATTTTCAAGTCTTGCCACAGATTCCCAATTGGATTTAGATCTTCCTTTGTGAGTGCATCAAGTTGTGACTATTAAAACATTGTTTTTAATACTACTCCTAGATTGCACTTGATCTACTTTTCCCTTGGATATTTTTTTATAACCTAACCTGCTTTAAATTTCTCCACAATTTTATCCCTGACCAGTCTGGTTTGTTCCTTGGCCTTCATGGTGCTGTTTGTTCACTAATGTTTTCTAACAAACCTCTGAGGGCTTCACAGTGAAGCCCTCAGAGGTTTGTAGATGTGAAAACTATGCTGTAAGTCTGTATCTGTATGCATGGTTTAAATAGAAATATGATAAAGTAATTGAGCCATCCTGTAAAAGAAGAACATTTATACTTTGGTTTAAAGTGGGTGTTGTGTTAAATCTTCACGCTCTTAAAAGAACTAGGAGTGTGCTGCTAATCAACACTCCTGGGTGTGATGGATGCCTGTGCCCCCTGCAGGGAGCTGTAGTTTCTCCTGCCAGCTGCTACATCACTATTGTGTTTTGTAGTGACAGAGAAGTTCTGGTGGGCAGAACCACAGGGCACAGTAGGGAATTTGGTGTTTGAGACAGCCGGAATTGTCGGTAAGGAGTGTGGCATGCAGGTCTTCAGCAGAACGTAGATTGAGCACACTGCATGTAGAAAACAACTTATTTTACAGGACGGATCAGTTTTTTCTGTAGTAACAAGGCCACTTCAAGAGATAAAGTACAGCTTTTTTTTTGTTAATTTAATGTGGATAAAGATATATTCCGCCTCAAACAGCACAAACCTTCTCAGATTTTGATTTAGCGATCAGCTCTTCAATTAGCTCTTTACGGGTTTTTGTTTTTTCTGGCTCCTCCTCTTTCTGTTCAGAAGGAGCTTTCTTCCTGAGCAGCCCTCCTCCACCAAAATGAGAAGCTGTCAGCGCAGCTGTAATATAAAATAAAAAAAAAAAATTATGTCTTCTGAATATGTGGTAGGAAGCGCCTAGTACAAAAGTTCATCTCCCTAAAATTCTTTCAGAACATATATTCGTTACAAGCTTCAGATACAGTCAGTATATTTCAGGAGAAATGACCTCCCCCCCTTCTTCAGGGGTCTGTAGGAGAGCATGAATTTTTGCTGGATAAGAGCTGGTATGTCACAATGATAATGTTACCAGCCAGTTAAATGCTAATTCATAACCTCCTTTGGTTTCACTTTTTCTACACAGATTGATAATTATATAAAACTGCTGAAAAAGCCACTGGAAATTTAGAAATGTAAATTTCTGATTCAAACTAAAAATCGACTGTTTTCTAAAACCACCAAAAAGGAACCAAATAAACATATTAGATTTCCATTACTTATAAATAATGCAAATGGTGGGCCTCTATACACATTTGATATTGGTGTGTAAGGCTACCAGATATTTTATGAATTTGGCTAATTGCTTTCAACATCTATTCATGTGACTGTAGGAGACAGCCTGTAAGGAGAAAGCAAGTGGAAAGCGCACATGCTTTTTCTGACAGCAATAAGAATCCGCAATTGCTTAAATCTTTGCAAAATATATAACGGACATGTAGAGGTCTGCTTTTATATTCTCAGCAAAGACGGCATTGCTCTTTACAGCTTAACCCAAGTCTAAACCTTAAAGCGGAGTTCCACTCAAAAGTGGAAGCTCCGCTTATTTGCCTCCCCCCTCCACTGCCATATGTGGCACCTTTTGAGGGGAAGGGGAGAGCAGGTACCTGGTTTTGACAGGAATCCTGCACCCACCTTCGGCTCAGTTCGTCGTGGCAAAGTGAGCTGGAAGTTCGGCCCCCTCCTTGCTCCCACAGTCTCCTGGGACCTTTCACAGGTCCCAGTAAACTGCCGGACCAATCAGGAGGCACGGCGCGACTCACACATACGCAGTGGGAACCAGACTGTGAAGCTGCAAGCTGTCACAGCCTGGTGCCACAGTAGAGATGCCAGCGCTGTGCAGGACAGGAGAGAAGGGACTGCGCAGGTGAGTACATCACTGGACCCCAGGACAGGTAAGTGTGTGTATATTAAAAGTCAGCAGCTACAGTTTTTGTAGCTGCTGACTTTTAATAAATACAAAAACGGCTGGAACTCCACTTTAATACTTAGAATAGCCATAATCTAAATACCTAGATTACTTTCACACTGTGAATATGTACAACAGCTTCTGTGAATAAAACACAATCTCAAAATGGAGGACAATCAGATGACTGATACGTCTGCCTCCTCCACTCATCATAGTTCGTCTTTTATTCATTGAAATTGTAGTATAGCTTCTATGAATGGAGCTGCTAGGTAGAAAGGGCAGGCGTAGTCAGGCTCTCTTGATGAGAGCCCTAGACAGCAACTTAGTTGTATTTGGAAGATTACAGCGACACTGCATGTGGTGAGAGTGACAGGACAGAGGAACATTTTCACTAACAGAAGAGGAATCAGCACAAGAGACACATCCTATTGACTGTAAGTTATGTTCCTTGTGCTGATTTTCCTGCACATAGATGTGATTATTCATTAATTATTCATGGAAGGGTTTTATCAATCTTTCAATGTCGTTACTCACCAGATAGCGCCCCCCTTTCATCTGTATCACTGTCACTATCCACAGGGTCATTCAGCTTTTCCAGCAAAGCCAGAGACTGTCCATAGTGAGTCAATTCCTCCTCTTTCATTTAGGTTGTATATAGTCTTCTTGTCAACATTTCTCTATAAGAATAAAACATGTTAAATCATCTACAACAATAAAAAGATATGCAAATGAGGAGTGGGGATCTGACATCACCCCTACACTCCATAATTCTCACAGGAATGTTTTTAACATGTAATGACTGTTAGAGGCACTGGTAATCCAAATACTAATTTCTTTCCCAAATACGATTTCTCTTATCCCCTCCCACCCCCAAATCTTCATATACCTAGTCACAACCTACCATCTATTTACATGTAGGTGGTCTTTAGGGAACCTGAGTCCCATTACACACCTTACATCCCATTTTCTCACTTAGGGCCCACCATTTCTATGTTACTATCTCATTTGTATGAATGTACTTGTCTGCATGGAATGGATGTAACCTCACCAAATGCTAACTGGCTGTGACTGTATCTGTAGTATGTAAACCCTGACTTCTGATTCTTTGCTTTAAACAAAGTTTTAAAAATTAAAGGTGCAGCGCATACTTCCATCCACACCTCTCTCTCAGATATAGAGAAATATTGTCTAGATGCATTCAGACAGCATATTCCATTGGGGAATAGACACTTACAGGATGTTTTCCTTAACCACATCATATATCATAAACAACATCAGACAATAAATATGTTTTTTATTTTATGTCTGCAACACAGCAGAATCAGTCTGAAAACAAGCTGCATTAGCCCACAGACACAGGCCCATACAGTGTTTCCTATGGGGCTCTGAGGTCCACTGATGATTCTACTTGGAGATGTTCAGGTGAGACATCCTTTACTCTGCTATGTAACACTTAGACACATGAAACCGCAAACAACATTCCTCCACGGTCTTCTCTTACCTGTCGCTCCATTGCAAATCTCTTCATCATCTTCTCCTCCGGAGTGAGTTTGGTGTCATATTCCCCAAATCGCTTATCCATAAATATGCTGGCCTTCCCCCTCTGCTGGTATTCTTTCAGGAGTGTTTCCTTGCGCTACAATACAACAAAATGTTACATTTATTTTATTCATATTACATCTATTATGGAGAACTGGGAAGTTCCACAGTGCTTTACAAAGAACACAGCTCACAGTCATGCAACCACCACAGTCAGAATCTCAGGCAACCCTCAAAGAATCAGTCCACCCAAAAATGACCTTTCAGCTTATCATACATACTGGTGTTTATGTTTCTCACGGAACGTGACCTATGTATATCTGCCACACTTGTCTTCTTCATTGAATTTATATTCAAAAGAATGTAAGAGGAGGAGGAGTAAAAGCCACCTTGGAGTAAAAAAGAGGAAGGAGGAGTGAGACTGCTGGATAAGAACAGAACTAGGAATTAGAATGGAGAAATGGCATGACTGAAATGACTAAACCATAAGAGATGCCAACAGGTGATGAATGGCTGTAGGCTGCTCCTCCAACATTAGCAATAGGGATGAGCTCAGGCGTGATCAGAACCTAGACTGAAACAACCTGAGGGATTCCACCAGGAAGCTGCCACTGTATTTGGCCAATCATAAGCAGCTGATGTGTGGCATATATACATGCAGCTGCAAAGCAGGGAATGCCTCAACCACTTAGGATTGGCCAAAGTGCAGTGGTAGTTTTCTGGCAGGATCACTCAGGTGAGTTTGTACTAGAATCCAAACACACCTGTGCTGATGCCTGCTAACAAACCACTCAGTGTCTGCCAATCCCTCTGCTGGCCCCTGCGAGCCCAGTGTATAACATTAAAAATACCATCAACAACACACGATACCATCCACAATTCTGCCCCCAGCTACATCAACAACCTCATCTCAACATATTGCCCACACCATCCTCTGAACTCTTCCCCAAGACCTCTTGCTGTCTTCCTCATGTTCACTTCCAGGACTTTTCCAGAGCCACTCCCATCTTCTGGAACTCCCTACCCCAATCTATTTGGCTATCTCCTACTCTGTCCTCCTTTAGCTGATCTCTAAAATCTCGTCTCTTCAGGGAAGCTTACCCTGCCTACTTTCTCCATTAATTCATCCTCAGTCCCCATTCACCCTGCTGTAGCACAATGTCAGGTGTCCCACCCTGCAGCCACATGTATGCCTCTGTTGTCTATAAATGGCTGCCAGTTTTGACAGCTTCCCAGCAGGATAGCTCAAGCGGTTTCAGACTCATTTACAAACACATCTGAGCTTATACACTGGTTATGATCACACATGGGCTTGGGCATCCTCTGAACTCACCTCTATCAAATTCACTTTTTTTTCCAAGCAGCAGGGTCATTTCACATCCCACAGCAAACAGAAACAAAGGGTCAGGCTGCTGGGAACCTAAGTGCCCTTACATGGTCACATACCCACCTTTAGATATTGCCATTGGAAAAGATGGGTATGTGTCTATATAAGCATACCAATGTCACCAGCATCCCACCCCTTTGTTTATGTGTGCTGCAGGGTGGGAAATAACCTGGCTTGCAGCTGAAGGGGGAAAAAAAAAAAAAGAGTGATATTGATGTTCAGATACAGATATGGTCAGAGTAGCTCAAAAAGGTTGGAATCTAAGAACAGAATGCATAGACAGGCATGCATGCTGGGGGTGCAGTGCTGAGCTCAGGCATGTTCGGATCGTTGTCCGAACCCACCTGAGCTAAGCGGTCAGGATGCTGTCATTGCAGACTGCCAATCATAAGAAGCTGAGGCACGTATACATTGCGCAGTTGCAGGGCGGGGAATACCTCTGCTGGCTCTGACTGGCTGGGACAGCTCAGGTGGGATCCAGCTCGTGTCCAAACACTCCTGTGCTCATCGCTGGTCATGCCCAGACATGAACCTGGGCGTCCTCTGCACTTCTCTATGGGAACATCAAAATTGCACTTTTTCTTTTACCTCCAATCAGATTCAGGCATGGTCATTTCCCACCCCGTAGCAAACATAAACAAAGGGGCAGGATGCTGGGGTCCTAACTGCCCTTATATGGACATATGCCCATCTTTACCCAATGACTTAACCAATTAAGCTCCAGAAGACTTGACCTCCTTCATGACCAGGCCATTTTTTGGCTATTTGGCATTGCACTACTTTAACTGCCAATTGTGCGGTCATGCAACACTGTAAGCAAATGGAATTTATATAATTTATTTCACACATTTTGGAGATTTTTGTGGTATATGATCGCCACTGGGTTTTTTATTATATAAAAATGAAAAAAGACCTACATTTTTTTTAAAAATATTTATTTTTTACTTTCTGCTGTAAAACATATCCAATAAAAAAAAATGTAAAAATCAAATTTCTTCACAAATTTAGGCCAAAATGTATTCTGCTACACGTCTTTGGTAAAAAAAAAAAAAAAAAAAATCCCAATACGTGTATATTTATTGGTTTTTGTGAAAATTATAGTGTCTACAAACAATGGTATATATATTAGAATTTATGTAACTTTTACTTTCTGACTGCCTGCCCATCACATTTCTTGAGGTGCTAATATGCCAGGACAGTACAAAGACCCCCCAAATGACGTAATTACCCCAAGACCCCTTTTTAGGACGTAATTACCCCAAGGAATTTGGTGAGAGGAATTCTGAGTCCATGGAACATTTTATTTTTTTGCCACAAATGAAGGGCCCTGATGATCAGTGTCGATCTCCTCTGTGACAGCATGAGGAAAGTGCTGCTGATAACCGGCAACTGTATTTACTTTGTGATCTCCTGTGTCATTGGACACGGCTGATCACGTGGTAAAAGGCAGCTGTGATTGGCCTTTTACCTCATTACATGATCAGCTGTGTCCGTAAGACACAGTGATCATGGAGAACGCCAGGTGCACGCCCCTGGGGGACGCACGGGAGGGTACAATCTGGGAGGAAGTCATATGGCGCCCTCCCAGAACTGGGTAACCGCGCTGTAGCCCACATTTGGCTATAGTGCAGTTACCAAGTGGTTCAACTCACTTAGTGCCTTATCTGCCTTAAATTAGCCTCAGAATTAATATGTGTTCGGTTTTAAAAAGATGAGGTGAGAACCCTAGGTGGCACCCGACCAGTGAAGTCAGGGGCAGACTGGGCTGGGGGCAGGACAGCAGCCAAGAGTGGCATGAGAGGACTCACCTCACTGAGCTTCCACTGCCGACCTTTCAAAAGCTCCATGCGCACTGGGCTTAAAGAAACGCTGAAACAGAGCGTTTTTATATACAGTTTAGGAGAGATTGGTGTTTTTCTGCCAAAAAGCACCAATGAAACACGCAAACCAGAAGTTATTTCCTGCCTCTAATTGTCGAGCTTACAATATGTCTCTAATCATCCTAATGTGAATGGACACATAGAAAAAGACTGAGCTGCTTCTACTGGCAAAACTCCTGTAGAAGCAACGATTTTTAAGCCAGTGTGCATGGAGCCCAATTCTTTTTTTGCAGCCGCATTACCGTCAACGTTGGCTCCTGCATCCACACGTAGCTGCCTGTGTCCCTGCAGAGCCCTCCAGCAGAACAGAGAAGAAGGAGCAGGACCGACTCTCAAACATGGCGCCACCTTGGCAATGCCACAGAGAACCCCACAAAGTGCTGTGAAAAAGGACTACAGTGTCCTTACAGTAGTGATCAGGCAAGCCTGCAAAAGCAGCCAGCTAAGGAGCCAGCCAGGAAGGACATGTTTTATGCACACAGGTTGACCTCTGCATCCACTGCTGGGGAGGATGCACAAGACATGCAGGAGGACACGGGGAGTGGGGGATTGCATTACTGTCCAACACCCTGCATCCCATGTCCTGTGTTTTGTCCCCCAGAATCTTTGGTGACCTACACCCTTTTCCAGTACCCTACACCCCATGCTCTGCGTTCTGCACTCTTCTCCTGCACCCCATGTTCTGGGGTGACCTGCACCCCATGTCCTGCATTCTGCACACTGTACCCTTTCCTGCATTTCATGTGCTGCATTCTGCACCTTGCACTTCACAAATTACTCGCAAACTACTTACCTTTCCCCGAGTGCTGACAACCCATGCTACGCTAAAAATAAAAAAAAAAAAACTTTTTTAGCTCCTAGATTCAAAGCAAATTTGTTAAGCCCTGGGTTTGTGAGAAAGTCACAGCGCCTACAGAATATGGTATATATACTGGAATTTTCATACTAGTAATGGAGACGATCAGCAATTTATAGTGGGACTGTGATAGTGCAGTGGGGCAAATCTGACACTAACTGATGCTTGGTGAGAACTGATTAAATGATGCTGATATGATGCTCACCTGTGACACTAATACAGTGATCACTGATAATACTATACACGGACACTGTCTGGAAAGGGGTTAACATCCAGGGGCAAAGGGTTAACTGTGTACCTAACAATGTGTAATGTGTGCTGCTTTGTGTTTTTTTTTTTCCACTGCTTTGCAGGAAATAAAAACAAGCACATCTCTGTTCCCTTAGTTGTTAGTAAACACAGGCCTCTGAACTGTCATTCGCTAAGCCAATCAGCAAATCCCGGTCATAAATCATTGGCCAGGGGCTGCTGATTGGCTTGTACTGTAGCGAATGACAGCACAGAAGGGGCGGCGTGTGCCCCCTACCTGGAAATGCACATGTATGTGATCTTGCGCAGCACGGCTGCTATCCTGCAGTAAATCTGTGGTAGGTGGTCTGCAAGCAGTTAATATGGGCATGTGACTATAAAAGGTAGTGACATCACCAGCATCCCACCCCTTCACTTACATCTGCTGTGAGGAGAGGAATGGTTCGGCCTGCAGCTGGTTGAAGGGAAATATTGGTATGATTTTCATATTTGGCTAGAGATGAGTTCAGAGGACACCCGAGTCATGAAATAAGGTTGGAATCTGTGATGAGAGCAGAATGCAGAGACATGCATGGATACTGGACAGGGTTCTATATACACTGCTCAAAAAAATTAAAGGAACACTTTGAAAACACATCAGATCTCAATGGGGAAAAATCTCCTGCTGGATATCTATACTGCTATGGACTGGGTAATGTGTTAGGAACGTAAGGATGCCCCATCAGTTGATGGAAATGAAAATGATCAACCTACAGAGGACTGAATTCAAAGACACCCGAAAATCAAAGTGAAAAAATGTAGCAGCAGGCTAGTCCATTTTGCTGAAATGCATTGCAGCAACTCAAAATGGTGCTCAGTAGTTTGTGTGGCCCCCACGTGCTTCTATGCATGCCTGACAACGTTGGGGCATGCTCCTTAATGAGATGATGGATGATGTCCTGGGGCATTTCCTCCCAGATCTGGACCAGGGCATCACTGAGTTCCTGGACAGTCTGAGGTGCAACCTGGTGTCGTCGGATGGACCGAAACATGATATCCCAGAGGTGTTCTATTGGATTTAGGTCAGGCGAGCGTGGGGGGGTTCCATTCAATGGTATCAATTCCTTCATCCTCCAGAAACTGCCTGCATACTCTCCCCACATGAGGCTGGGCATTGTCATGCACCAAGAGGAACCCAGGACATACTGCACCAGCGTAGGGTCTGACAAAGGTTCCAAGGATTTCATCCGATACCTAATGGCAGTCAGGGTGCCATTGTCTAGCCTGTAAAGGTCTGTGCATCCCTCCATGGATATGCCCCCCCCCCCCCAGACCATCACTGACCCACCACCAAAACGGTCATGCTGAACGATGTTACAGGCAGTAGAACGTTCTCCACAGCTTCTCCAGACCCTTTCATGTCACATGTGCTCAGGGTGAACCTGCTCTCATCTGTGAAAAGCACAGGAGCCAGTGATGGACCAGCCAATTCTGGTGTTCAATGGCAAATGCCAATCCAGCTCTATGGTGCCAGGCAGTGAGCACAGGGCCCACTAGAGGACCTCAGGCCACCCTCATGAAGTCTGTTTCTGATTGTTTGGTCAGAGACATTCACACCAGTGGCCTGCTGGAGGTCATTTTGTAGGGCTCTGGCAGTGCTCATCCTGCTCTTCCTCCTTGCACAAAGGAGCAGATCCCGGTCCTGTTGATGGGTTAAGGACCTTCTACAGCCCTGTCCAGCTCTCCTAGAGTAACTGCCTGTCTCCTGGAATCTCCTCCATGCTCTTGAGACTGTGCTGTGAGACACAGCAAACCTTCTGGCAATGACACGTATTGATGTGCCATCCTGGAGGAGTTGGACTGCCTGTGCCACCTCTGTAGGGTCCAGCTATGTCCTCATGCTACCAGTAGTGACACTGACCCTAGCCAAATGCAAAACTAGTGAAAAACAGAAAAGATGAGTAAGGAAAAAAATGTCAGTGGCCTCCACCTGTTTGACCCCCAAAACCTCCATTCCTGTTTTGGGGGTCATCTCATTGTTGCCCATCTAGTGCACCTGTTGTTAATTCCATGAACAGCTGAAGCTGATTAACAACCCCCCTGATACTTACCTGACCAGATCAATATCACAGGAGATTCACTGACTTGATGCTGAACTGTGATCACAAAGTGTTCCTGTCGTGTATAAATCCTGTGTAATCGTCATACAAGCACATTCATTCTCTATCACCACACACCAGAAGACTAGCCCCGGCTCACCTTCTTGATGGCTTTAGACTTGGACACCCCCGGCAGCCCCACATCATGCTTGCTCTTCCTGCCCAGCACATTGAACTTCTGCTTGTTGACCTTCACTTCGAACGGGTTGTCCCGGACCTCGCTGCGGGCTTTCCCCACCTTCACTGCAGCGGCGCCGGCTAGGGGCTTCTTCCCCTTCTTGTTATTCTTCCCCATGTCTGCCCAGTCCTCCTAGCACAGCACACACGTGGGTTCTCCGCCGGGACCGGAAGTGAACTGAACCTGCTGGATACGCTCTGGCCGGCAAGGTGGCGAACTTCCGGACTCGATGGTAGCCGCTCCAAGACAAGTGTTTACCTGTGACTGCGCAGCCGCCGTTCTGCTTCTAATGTGAAGTGCGAACTGCTCTGTACTGCACCATAATAACCAATCACATTCCACATTCCACGTTGTACAGGCTCTTTTGACAACCAATGCAGCCCTATGGAACGAATTAATGACACAATGATGGCACTGAGTAGACTAAGGTTGCAGGAATGGGGTAATGGGATAGCAAAGTCTACAAATAGTCCCATAAAAACCAAAATTGTGAACAAAGGGAATATATATGTCACTAAAAAGGCCTCTATAGCTTGGTGTCAGCTCCTTCAACGAGGATTGGATCTACACTCTAACAAAAGGGGAACACGAGAAGCGCCACCACCAAAGTGTAGTATTAAAAGATGAGATGTGTTTAAATTGCACCCACATGTATTGGAAAGTACAGACAAAACACAAAACCAGCATCCAATGGAGGACCGCAGAGCTCGGCAGGGTCACGGCTGGGCCGAAAGAGTGGAGACCGGGGTGTGTGGGCCGGGCTGGTTCTGGCCCTGGTGGTGTCCATGGCCACAGCACGTATAGCCGGGGTAAGCCGCACAGTCTTCAGGGAGTGGAGAGCACACCACCAACGGAGTGAATGACAAGCCGAAGATGCACAGACTTCCACTGTGTGATGTGGGAAGGGACACATCCTTCATTTAGGTTCCACGCCCCCCCATGTGCAATGCTGTACCCAAATGAAATTTGTCATTCTTTTCACACAAAGAGTATTTGCTCACCACTGGGTTTTTTAGTTTTTCTGATATAAATGAAAAAAGACTAAACATTTTAAAAAAAACAATATTTTTTACTTTCGGTTATAAAAAAAAATATATAGTTAATTCAAAGTTAGTCATAAATTTAGGACAAAATGTATTCTGCTACATGTCTTTGGTTAGAAAAAAATCCCAATACCTTGGTTTATGTAACAGTTATAGCGTCTACAGACGATGGTATACACAGTTGTGTTCACAATAATAGCAGTGTGTTGAAAAAAGTGAATAAAGCTCAAAATCCTTCTAATAGCTTTTATTTCCATACACACAAATGCATTGGGAACACTACACATTCTATTCCAAATCAAAACATGAAGAAAAATAGATCAAATTTGTGTTGTTCCTCTAAACAAATTGAAGAAAAGTGAATATTAGACTGTTCAAAAAATAGCAGTGTTTGTATTCTTCTTTACAAACTCATTCATTCACTATATAAACTGAAAAATGTTTGAAGATTTTGCTTTCCTTTGAATCACTTAATGAATATTTGGTTGTATAAGCACTGTTTCTGAGAACTGCTGTACATCTGTGTTGCATGGAGTCACCCAACTTCTGGCACCTGTGAACAGGTATTCCAGCCCAGGATGATTGGACTACATTCCACAGTTCTTCTCTATTTCTTGGTTTTGCCTCAGAAACTGCATTTTTGATGTCACCCCACAAGTTTTCTATTGGATTAAGATCCGAGGATTGGGCTGGCCACTCCATAACGTCAATCTTGTTGGTCTGGAACCAAGATGTTGCACATTTACTGGTGTGTTTGGGGTCGTTGTCTTGTTGGAACACCCATTTCAAGGGCATTTCCTCTTCAGCATAAGGCAGCATGACCTCTTCAAGTATTCTGATGTATTCAAACTGATCCACGATCCCTGGTATGCGATAAATAGGCCCAACACCGTAGTATGAGAAACATCCCCATATCATGATGCTTGCACCACCATGCTTCACTGTCTTCACAGTGTACTGTGGCTTGAATTCAGTGTTTGGGGGTCGTCTGACAAACTGTCTCTGGCTGGAGCCAACAACATCTGGAGCTGATTGTTGGCTGAGTCCTTGCCATTTTGGCTATTCTTCTATCCATTCAAATGGAAGTTTTTATTCCATGTCTTTCAGGTTTTGGTTGCCATTTTAAAGCATTTGCGATCATTTTAGCCGCCTATCATTTTCTGCACTTCTTCATATGTTTTCCCCTGTCCAATCAACTTTTTAATCAAGGTACGCTGTTCTTCTGAACAATGTCTGGAACGACCCATTTTCCTCAGAATTTCAGAGAGAAATGCACTGTAACCAGCATGTACAACATTTGCTGCCTTCCTTCCTTAAATAAGGGCAATAATTGCCACCTGTTTTTCAAAGAATGAATGACCTCACTAATAGAACTCCACACTGCTATTATTTTGAACATGACCCTTTCAGTTAGTGATTTAATTACACAGAATCAGCAGCATGCATGTCATGACTGTTGGGTCTGTTGGATTTCTGTTACTCTACTACACCTGCAAGTAAATTATTTGCCATGTAGAAATATCATTTCTACCAAAAACAGTGACTGATCAGGTTAGTGATGTCTGACTGCTATTATTTTGAACACAACTGTACAGTTAGGTCCATATATATTTGGACACAGGCACAATTTTAGTTTTTTTCAGGTATTTACCAAAACATATTCAAGCTATAGTTATATAATGGAGATGTGTACACTCTCAGGTTTAATTTGAGGGTATGTACATCCAAAATGGAGGAAGGGTTTAGGAATTACAGCTCTTAAGAGTAGCCATGTAATTCAAGGACAAATTGAAATCAAAAGCTGTTTCATGGCCAGGTGTGGGCTACTGCTATCGTTATTTCTTCATCAATTAAGCATGTAAAAGTTCTGCAGTTCATTTTAAGTGTAGTATTTGCATTTGGAATCTATTGCTGTGAACCTACATCATGTGTTCAAAGGCGCTGTCCATGCAAGTGAAACAAGCCATTGAAAGGCTTCAAAAACGAAACAAATCCATCAGAGAGATATCAGCAACATTAGGAGTGGCCAAATAAACCGTTTGGTACATTATGAGGAAATAAGAACGCACTAGTGAGCTCTGAAACATAAAAAGGCATGGACGTCCATGGAAGACAACAGTAATGGATGATAGCAAGATCCTCTCTATGGTAAAGAAAAACCCATTCACAACATCCAGACAAGTGAAGGACACTCTCCAGGAGGTGGGCGTATCATTATCAATGTCTACAATCAAGAGAAGACTTCATGAGATCAAATACAGAGGGTTCATCACAAGGTGCAAAACATTCATAAGCCTGAAGAATAGAAAAGCCAGGTTAGATTTAGCCAAAAAAACATCTAAAAAAGCCAGACCAGTTCTGGAAAAGCATTCTTTGGATGGATGAAACAAAGATTAATCTGTACCAGAATGACGGGAAGAAAAAAGTGTGGAGAAGGCTTGGAACAGCTCATGATCCAAAGCATGCAACATGATCTGTAAAACATGGTGGAGGCAGTGTGATGGCATGGGCATGTATGGCTTCCAGTGGCACTGGGTCATTGGTGTTTATTGATGAAGTGACAGAAGACAGCAGCAGTCGGATGAATTCTGCAGTGTTTAGAGATATACTATCAGCCCAGATTCAGCCAAATGCAGCAAAGTTGATTGGACAACGCTTCACAGTACAGATGGACAATGATCCAAAACACACTGCAAAAGCAACCCAGGAGCTTTTGAAGGAAAAGAAGTGGAATATTCTGCAATGGCCGAGTCAGTCACCTGATCTCAACCCAAGTGAGCATGCATTTCACTTGCTGAAGGCAAAACTAAAGGCAGAAAGACCCACAAACAAAGAACAGCTGAAGAGAGATGCAGTCAGAGCCTGGCAAAGCATCAAGGAGGAAACCCAGTCTTTGGTAATGTCCATGGGTTCCAGACTTCAGGCAGTCATTGCCAGTAAAGGATTCTCAACAAAAATATTAAAAATGAACATTTTATTTATGATCATATTCATTTGTCCAATTACATTTGAGCCCCTGAAAATGGAGGGACTGTGTATAAAAATGGTTGCAGTTTCTAAAATTTGTACTTGATATCCATGTTCAACCCCTTGAATTAAAGCTGAAAGTTTGCACTTAGAATTCATTTGGATTGTTTCATTTTAATTTATTTCTGGTGGCATACAGAGCCAAAAGTATGAAAATTGTGCCTGTGTCCAAATATACTGTATATGGACCTAAATGTATGTAACAGCAGAGAACACGGGCATATGATGAATTGGGTCTGTGGACCAATATAACCACAATTCATTCTTTTTTATAATGCCCATGTTGAAGGTTAGGCCCCACAACTCTGTCACCACAGGCAGGTATATTCAGAGATTTACACAACAGTAACGCTCTTCAAGAGACAGAGATTCTTTGAGCTTGCCTTAGTGTATCAGAGACAGTTTTAAACAGTATTCAAAATACAGTTTAATAATGAAATGGTAAAAAATGGTGCAAATAAAATATTCACAAAAAAGATATTGCAAAGAGACAACAATGCAACAGCAAGACAAAAGGGGTGAAAATGAAAATACTTGCAAGTCCTGGTTTGCAGAGTCCATTGACTAAACAAGACAGTACAGCGGCTCTCACAATCCTGTTAGGTGTTCCTTGGTTTGATGTTAAAAGAGAGCTGACAACTTCAAAAAGGGGTAGTCCCCTTTTCTTGCTGGTGAGGGGGGTGATGAGAGAAATGATCCGACCAATTACCAGGTCTAAGGTGTGGCTGCTGGGATGTCGCGGTGTTGATGACCATGTCCCAGATACGATTTTCTCTAGGTATTAATATCTTTGAATACCTACAAGTTACAGTCTGCTAACCTGCATATTATTGTCCAGCATTGAATTGCCTTCAGGAGTATAGATATGGCAGTTAGAGAATTGGGCAGCTCCAGGTACTCCTATGGTAACGGTGTTTGGTCTAAAAATGTTACAAATTAGCCAAGGGAGATAAATATGTCCTTATTCTGCCTGTACTGTTATGATTTCATGAGTTACGAAATACACTAGGAATATGGATTCTACCAAGAGGAATAGACAGAAATGTG